ATTTTAACCAGGTCAAACAACTAATAATGGTTAAATAAGTTAAAATTGACTGATAAACTAACTATGTCACCAAAGAGTGCCAATAATGTATCATATTGCACATTGATAGAATTTAGAATTTGCTTCTATGGACTACACCTTGCCTTTGTATATTTATTCATACGATGAATTGAACTTTTAGTCACTTATTACTTTATTAGTTATAGTAACTGAATATAAGAATTCATTTATTAACATTTTTACAACTTAAGTATCCAAAATTTTTATTAAGAAAATGCAAGAATTTTAATCTCTGAACATTTAAATCAAATATTAACGACTTCAAAAGACCCCCCCAAAAAAATCTTGAATTTGAAGGATATATTTTGGTTAAATATAGAAAAATCATACTTTTAGTCCCCCAATTATTTTTAAGCTAAGTTATAAATCTAGTTGTTCTCAATTTTTTCAAATTTGAGTCATTAATTGTTAAATGAATTCTAAGTTTAACATTTCACATAAGCTATTTGATGCGAAACTTTGTTTGAATATAGGTTGGCATATTTGTACCTTCAAATTTATAAATAGAGTTTGATTATTGTTTCTAAAATGTTGAATCTTTAATCTTAAAAGCTCCAGATCTTTTTACATTATTGCTGGTGAAATTCAATTATTTTCAAACTTCATCATTATGACTAACTGAACTACCCAATGGACTAAATAGAGTTTGATGTCAGCTTTGATCGTTGAGAAATTAAATTTACAATTTCTTTAAAAAAAATCACTTCATATCAACATTTAATACGGTATTAATTTTGATCCGTCCATTAATTTAAAGCAGTACATCATCAACTGTGGACGCGACACCATGTAAACATTTCCCCTCTTTATCCTTGCTTTCATCTACGGTGCCTGCCACGTGAGCATATGCATCCAACACGGCGATGAGTCTTCAGGGACCCACCGCGGGCCCACCGGCTATGGTAATCTCTATCCTACACGCAGGAAACATCGCCACCCTTCCCATAACTGGGGCCCGCTCTACACGCCATAATTACCTTACTGGATTTTTTAATTTCTTTTTTCTTTTTTTTTTGGGACAAAAATCCAAAACGGGAATGTGAAATGACCAGTTCGTCCTCCGCCCGTCGCTTTATAAATTCAACTCTCCTCTTACAACACTCTCACCCATGTATTAGCCTTCGATAATTGTAGAGAGAGAAACAGCGACTGCGTGTGTTGCGTTTATTTTATTTAATTTTAGTTTATTTTCGTTGGTTAGTTCTAGAGAGAGAGAAAATGTTGGGTGTGTTTAGCAGCTCGATAGTTTCTCCGCCGGAGGAGTTGGTGGCGGCCGGAAGCCGGACCCCGTCTCCGAAGACCACGGCGGACGCTCTGGTGAACCGGTTCCTCAAAACCAACTCGTCGGCGGTGTCCGTGCAGATAGGCGACGATGCTCAGCTCGCTTACTCTCACGCCAACGAGTCCGCTTTACAGCCCAGGTACAGAACTGAAAATTGAAGTTCAAAAAAAAAAAAAACGCACGCACTGCACACACTAGCACGGAAGTTTAAATCGGCAGAAGTGATGTTTTGCTTAACGGATTCAATACATGTGTCATATATGCGTGATCATTGCCGTAGCGTAAGATGTGATGATCAACGGTTGTGGCTATCTGATCTGAGATGGTTATGGATGAGCACGGCCATTGATGATGTCATAGTATCATGGCCAGTTTACTGATATCATCTAATTTAACAAAAATCCATAGAACTTTGGCATTTATTTATTAGTTTTATTAAATTGAGATGCCTTGTTTCTCTTAAGAGTGAAATTAGTTCATATTAATCAACAGTTTAGAACAATTAGTCAATTAGTAAGTGAACCGTAAAAGATTAAAAGTTCAATTATCCTAAATTTGAGTCAAACTTAAACTCTAGAAGTGTGATTTGTGCAAGCAAATTCAAACTCTGTAAGTACGATTCTGAGCAACTTCGATCTCACTATAGTGGTGAGATATCGGTTTCGTACTAAAAATTAGTCCATAGTAAACAGCAATTTTTATTATTATTATTATTATTATTTTTTTATATTTTTTTTTTTTGGTGTTTTGGATGTTTTAATTTCTTGTCTGTGGTGTATTTGATCTGTTTTCATCGCTAGTGAGCACTTTACTAGAAAACATAATCAAAATTGAAAGGAGTTCTATAGATTCTAAATGGTTTTCGATTTTTATTTGTTTTTGGGAATTTTATTTACCCTTAGGTAAGGTATAGTAGCTTGTTGTACCTTAAAAGGAAATTTCTTCATTTGAAGCTAGTTGGATGTTGAGACTTGAGATGCACAATTATGAGCGAATATAAATATTTGTTTGTTTTCCTTTTTTGAGGTATGACACTATGTATATATATAGTCTAACTGACACCCGTATTTAGGTAAAAGGTCACATTTAATTCATAATAAATTTATAGAGAACTCCCTTTGCTCGTAATTTATAGAGAAGAAATATTTATATGATATTATTAATATCAATAATATCATATACGATGAAGAATACTAATACATAATTACACTAATTACTATTTGCATATGAATCAATCGAGACATAATTACACTAATTACTATTTGCATATGAATCAATCGGTATCATTAAAACAAGGGAAAAAATTATAATAAATATATTATTATTATAAATTGAGTTTTACTATATGTATTCTCAAATTCTACCATTGACAAATAAAAATAAAATAATTTTATCATGTGTATTTCAGAAAAAAAAAATGTCGAGGAAGTAAAAATTGGAATTAAATGCATTATTTTCCTTATAAATAATTTTTCTGCTAGTGAAAAGGGGAAAATACATTGAAAGAAGAGAAATTTTCAACGGAAATGATTGACGTTCGTCACTGTAATAATCACGACCAAGTTTTGGCCATGGAAGTTGGTGATCCCACGGTCCAAAATTGGTACTCGTGGGTCCCACGTCTGCAGTTTTCTATAAAAAAAAAAAAAAAACATTTTCAGTAATTCATGGATCTGAAAGTTCTCTGCATTTTAGCCTAGAACTCCATTGTACATTTAACATTTGTACCCCCATCTGGGCATCATATCCAAACGTGGCAACATTTCCACTGTGTCAGTTTATCCCAATACTATACGTGTAATCCATATACACCTCCATCACTGGACCATCCTATTTTTTGAATTATTTGGTGCCCATCCTTTACCAAATAATTTCCATAGTATTTCTATGAAAGAATGATTTTGTTCTACTTTATATGTTTTGATTCTTATATTAATTATTAAAATTTTAAAAATTAATACTTTTAGTCTCTTAGTTATAACTCTTGAGACGATTTAGTCCATCTGTTTTTCATATTGTGAATTCAATCTTTCAATTATTATCAAAGTGGATGATTTGGTCTTTGAAAGTTTAAATCCGTCACTTTATTAAGTGAATATTGATGACAGATTTAGTTTCTGATGGATCAAATTTGTCACTTTAATACTTATTAAAGGACTATGTCTACGTTTTAAATAATTGAAAGCTAAACCAAAGACTAAAAGTAGTTTTCTTTTTTACTTAATTTAACATTAGCCAACCAGGACTATGTGGTCTAATGGTATCCGAGTTGGACTTCCAATTGGAAGATTATGAGTTCAAGCCTCAGTGGAGGCGTTATTGGTTCTTTGTGTTTCAGTAGGTTGAGAAAGTATATGAACAGATACTACAATGTAATAGAACCAGTAGCTTTCAAAAAAAAAAATAAAAAAATTTAACATTAGCCAATATAATTTATGTGGTTATTGAGTGATTAAAGAAATAAAGGAACAAACCGGGGTCTCCCCCACCCCCTGATGGGAAAAAAAAAAAAGAAGAAATAAAGGCACAAAGAACATTTAATTTAATTGGTGAAGTGTAGAAATCACAGTGAGTAATTTGATTATTTTTTAAGGTAATGATTCCTTAACATTTTTTTATTGTTTTTTTAAGGTAATGATTCCTTAACATTTAGTGCAAGTCTGTTTCATCATCTAGTCTTGACTAATTTTTAATGCCAAGTGATAAGCTTGAGACTATTGTATACTCTAGACAATTTACCTTTTTACCAACAATTGACATCTATATGCCCTTTGTTGTGTTCTGAGAGATGCTTATTCCTTGCCTTCACTTGAAAGATTCATGAATAACTAGGAATTTCTTACAAGTTGTAATGTGAATAGTTAGGTTCTAGGATAAGATACTAGGGGGAATATCTTTTACACATTTCTTACACATAAAAGACAAAATTCCCTCACCCAAGAGTGCACACCTCGACACACATTTTTTACACATTTCTTTAAGGCAATATCTAAGGAAGAAATTCCTTATATTGGTCCCTACCAGAAGCATCTTTATTTTTTATTTTTTTAAATATCAGCAGAAGCATATATAACTTTGAATCTTTCCTTGTCTCTTGCATGCAAGCTTCACTCATGCTTAACAGATGCCTTTTATCTTCTTCTCACTGGTCATTTTCAATACATTGATGTGTGATTATTTTTAAAAATGGCAGACTGTTCGCGGTTAAGGATGAAATATTTTGCTTGTTTGAGGGAACACTTGACAACCTAGGGAGTTTGAGGCAACAATATGGCCTTGCAAAGTCTGCGAACGAGGTGGTTTTGGTCATTGAAGCTTACAAGGCGCTTCGAGACCGGGCACCTTACCCTGCAAACCATGTTGTAGGTCACCTTGAGGGCAACTTTGCTTTCATAGTGTTTGACAAGTCCACCTCCACCTTGTTTGTGGCTACTGTAAGTATTCTTCACCTTCACCTACCATTTGCCTTTACAAATTGCAAGCTTTGTAGTTGACGCTTACAAGACAAAGTGGCTCGGTTTGTCGTGACAGGATCAAACCGGCAAGGTGCCTCTGTACTGGGGAATCACTGCTGATGGGTGTGTAGCATTTGCTAATGATGCTGATCTGCTCAAGGGCTCTTGTGGCAAGTCACTTGCTTCCTTCCCAGAAGGTTGGTGTCACAAATTATCTCCCTTGCATTATTGGTAGTTTGGTACATACAAAATTGTGATAGCTATTGATGACCACTCTACTATTAGGTGCTAAAAATAATAAATTGTGACAACAATTCATGTCAATAAACTACAAAGATATAATGGTTGTTAGCTGATAGCTGTTAGTTGTTAGCTGATTGTGTTAATTAGAGGGTATAAATAGTTGATAACATTAGCTGATTGTAGAAAATTGTTTGGTAAATTAGCTGTTAGCTGATAGCTGTTTGGTATAATTTCTTTTTTCAAAAAGCTAATTGAAAAAGTTGCTTGGAGTAGCTTTTTGAATTTTAGTCTTTTGGAGTTGCAAAAAGCTAATTAACCAAACATTTATATTGATATTTTAACTAAATCAAACAATTAATAGTGGTCAAATAGGCCAAAATTAGCCTATAGACCAATTTTTTACCAAACAGGGCCATAGGCTGCATCACTGAAAGCATTGAAAGTGATACCCAAAATGCAACATAGTATCTATTTGGCATCCAGCTGGAAACAACATGATCATAATCTACAGAGACAATAAATATTGGGGCAACTCTAACTAAGTTGGTCAGGCTGTTGAATTGGTAACCATGAGGTTACAAGTTTAGTTTGAGCCGGTTCTTTGCCGGTTAGGGTCACAAGGCTGGATAGTGGCTACGTGTTTCCTTCTTCACTCAAAAAAAAAAAAAAAGACATTAGATATTGCATCCACTAAGCTAATTGAATCTGTTGTATTTAAATTGTTGTTTTACTTCATTTTACAGGGTGCTTCTTCTCCACAGCAGTGGGAGAACTGAAATCCTATGAGAATCCTAAAAGCAAGGTCACTGCCATACCTGCTCCAGAGGAGGAAATTTGGGGTGCCAAGTTTATGGTAAGATGATGGACTTAATTAGCAAACATTCAGAAACCATATGTATTGGGGGTGGGGTCCAGTGGTTTTATTGCAATTCATGATTGACAGTATAGACACTAGTGATACTAGGAGGTCCATAAATATGAAATTATGAATTGTCTACATCAAAATAGTTACACATTAACATCAACCATAAGAAATTTGCAATCCACCTAATTTTCTTTGCTCTGATCAAATAGGAAAGATGTTGGCCACATCTTTAATTACTTGCTTTAGCAGTGGGCCACAGACTAGATTGAAACTTGACATGATGCCCCATTTTCACAAATTTGTAACCAAAGTGAGACATCATGATAAATCAGATAACAACTATAAGATTTCTGATTAAACCCATGTTCTGATGCTTAAAGTTGATCCATGTGTTGAGCATATAACCATTAATGTGCAATCCAACTATCAGCTTAGGCTTTTAGTTGAGATGGAGCACATGCTTCAATTTGGTATCAGAGTCAGACCGCACACGTGAGAGGGCGTGTTGAGCATATAACCATTAATGTGCAATCCAACTATCAGTTTAGGTTTTTAGTTGAGATGGAGCACATGCTTCAATTCCATGGACCAACCTAACATACAACTTTAAAAGTTATGGGGCTAACCATTTCCCAAGTAAGAGTTAAACTCTACTATACAATTCAAGTCGAATTCAGATTAGTCTCATTACGGTGAGAACACCGACTTTGTAGGCCAAAAAGAAAGAAAAAAAAAAAAAAATTGATCCATGGACCATACAACTTTAAGTGTCACAGTGAGCCACACATTTATCTGTTGCACACTGTTACTGATTGTCATTTTCTTTTGGTGTTATTGCAGGTTGAGGGAGGGCCAGTAGTTCTTGCAGCAACAAAATAGATCTATCCCTCTTTACAGAGATAGATCCAAAACCTCTTTTAACAGTGGTGACAAGGGAAGAGAGAGAGAGTGAGAGGATGCAAGGGAAGGATAGGGAGCAATATAATGTAAATAAGTGAATGACAAAGTTCCCTTAGGTGTTTATTACTATTCTACCTAGAGTGGGATTAGTAATCTTTTATGCTAAGTTGTTTTACTTACTTTAGAATGAATGTAGATTTTGGGGTTTGTTTGTTTCAATTTCGCCATTGTAAAGCTAGCTGTTTCTTCCTTGTTCAATCTAATAAATTACAGTCTTGTGTAATCATTACACCTCTTTTTGCATTTTGCAGTAATTATTTATTTTCCCTTCCTCAGCTCTTTTAATTAATCTAAATATTTTCTTTTTCAAAAAATTTGTGGGCATTGGACAAGTTGGTCGAGTTTAACCCCTGCTTGATTCGAGAAATAATGGTGTGACATATTGTGGAAGAATGTGGTTAAATGGTTTACGTACTTATCAAAGAACTCTGTGATTAAGTGTAATTTATCAAAGTAACTCTGTGATTAAGTGTGCTTGATGCAATGTTGAGATCAGCTTTAATCATTTGCAAGATGGATCCGAGTCCACAGAATAATTTATCCAGTTGAATTACTATTTTCATAAAAAAATGGATAAATTATTTGTAAATTTCCTTTTTACATAAAATGTGTATATAAATAAATATGAAAACTTTTTGGAGGTCATACAAATAATAAATACAGAAATGTTTTGATTCATGGACCAAACCCAATGTGTTACATCAAAAATTAAAAAAGAGTAATTCGATAATGGAAATGGGTCACACAGACAATTGAGAAAAACTTTGATTCATGGGCCAAACCCAACTGGCCTGGTTGCATTGCAAAGGGAGAATTCATGAAGCAAAATTTTAACAGTATGTTTGATTAGTTGGGAATGTAATACCATTTTCGAAAATAAATCTATTCTATTATTTGTCTTGTGCTTTCATTACTGGGAATAGCATATATTCTTGAAATATCAGACCCCCATTTCCGTCACCTTCTTTGTCTTTCTCCTTCTCCGGGAACACAACATTATTTTCCGCAAAATAAGTATACGAATACATTGGCACCGTGAACAGATCTCTACTGGAACACCACCGCATAGGCCCTAAAGGGTTCACAAACCCTTCATCTTCCTTGCATTCAACAACACCGAATCTCTCAAGGAATGGGTGACGCAGCAGCATCTTCGCCATGGGTCTGTCGCTAAGCACATTTTCAAGAAACTCTTCGCCGGAGGGGACAGATGCTCTGGTATATCTGGGTTGTCGGACGCTATTTTCCTGGCTAACTCACGTTCGTTGCCAACTTGCCACATGGGTTTCCCGGTGAGCATCTCGACGAAGATGCAGCCCAGCGCCCAGATATCCTTTGCCGCCGTGTACGATCTCGAGTTTAAACACTCCGGCGCCGCGTACAGTAACGTCCCGCGATGGGCATCGCCGAAAACATTGTTCTCGTCGGAAAACTTGGCCAGCCCGAAGTCGCAGAGCTTGAGCCGCGTCAAGCCGCCGTTAAAGTTTCCCGGGAAGGCAAGAACGTTGGCGGGCTTCAAGTCGCAGTGGAGGATTCCCAGGGTGTGCATGTAATGGATACCCTTAAGAAGCTGATAAGTGTAATATCCGGCCAGCAACTCCGACATCCCGCCGGTACGCCTGATCATTTGATGGAGAGTTCTGTTGAGATAAACCACAATATATAAGAATTCAAAATAATGACAAAACATTAAAAAGAAAAAAAAAGATTTACATAATTTGTCAATGTTAGATGTAATAAAAGGACAAATTCAACAATTAGTACTCCGTAATTGTTAGGCTAAGCGTGAAGGGCAACTATAACAACATGCATGCCTACTAATAAACATTTGATTATTTATTGGGATAGTAAAACAAAGTACAAAATGATTACCCTCTTGGAGCATATTCTAACATAAGGTTGTACACTTGTTGTCCATGCTCCATGCTTACGTCTTCCCCGAAGCATCGAACGATGAAGGGGCAGTTTCTGACGGCATCCAAAAACACTGCTTCCCGTTGCAGGGAGCTTGAGTGATGGATACCAGCGGACTTCACCGCCATCACCAATTCCCCTGCGGGTTGAAGAACGGCCAAGTGCACCTTTCCATGTGATCCAGATCCTAGAAAATACTGTTTCTCCCACGCCACCATAGCGAACAGATTGTGAGTGAATCACTGAATCGGAAATCAAATGATCCGATAGATCCAAGGAAGACGATAATGGAGATGTGAGTGTTGAGAATGAAGAAGTGATATATATAGTATCGCTAATCCCACTCCTTCTTGGAATGCAAATTATAGAGGATAGGCCAATTCCGGTTGGAGTAGGATTATATTGCATTCAAAGTAGGGTATTTGCAAATTGCAATGCATGAAATTTAAAAAAAATAATACTCCGTAGTCCGTAATATTTGCAAAGCTTTGATTCATGGGCCAAACCCAACTCGTTTCATTACAAAGGGGGAATTCGTGAAGCAAAATCTTAAGAGAAGCACTTCCCTGGCAGCCAAAAACTTATTTTAAAAATAATAATAACAATAAGTTATAATAAATTCAGTGATATATATGCATGACACATTAATTACTTGGGCTCGAAGATACGTCAAATGAATAAGTGAAATTTTGGTATAGATATGCATGTGCCAAGAATGTTCTAAAGATATTCAAGAATAAATTTATTATTATTTTTTAATTAAATTTTCATGCATTGCAAATACCCTACTTAGCTGCTTGAATGCAATATAATCCTACTCCAACCGGAATTGGCCTATCCTCTATCTATAATTCGCATTCCCAGAAGTAGTGGAATTAGTGATACTACTATATATCACTTCTTCTCAACACTCACTTCTCCATTATTGTCTCCCTTAGATCATTCGATTTTCAATTCACTCACAATCTGTTCGCTATGACAACGTGGGAGAAACAGTGTTTTCTAGGATCTGGATCATATGGAAATGTGCACTTGGCCGTTCTTCAACCCGCCGGGGAAATGGTGATGGCGGTGAAGTCCGCCGGTATCCATGACTCAGGCTCCCTGCAACGGGAAGCAGTGTTCTTGGATGCCGTCAGAGACTGCCCCTTCATTGTTCGATGCTTCGGGGAAGACGTAAGCATGGAGCATGGAGAACATGTGTACAACCTTTTGTTAGAATACGCTCCAGGAGGGTAATGATCATTTTGTACTTTGTTTTACTATCACAATTAATAATCAAATGTATGTTTATATATGTTTTGTCATTATTTTTGGATTCTTATATATTGTGGTTTATCTCAACAGAACTCTCCATCAAATGATCAGGCTAACCGGCGGGATGCCGGAGTTGCTGGCTGGACATTATGCTTATCAGCTTCTTAAGGGTATCCATTACATGCACACCCTGGGAATCCTCCACTGCGACTTGAAGCCCGCCAACGTTCTTGCCTTCCCGGGAAAGTTCAACGGCGGCTTGTTGACGCGGCTCAAGCTCTGCGACTTCGGGCTGGCCAAGTTTTCCGACGAGAACAATGTTTTCGGCGATGCCCATCGCGGGACGTTACTGTACGCGGCGCCGGAGTGTTTAAACTCGAGATACTACACGGCAGCGAAGGATATCTGGGCGCTGGGCTGCATCTTCGTCGAGATGGTCACCGGGAAACCCATGTGGCAAGTTGGCAACAATCAAGAGTTAGCCAGGAAAATAGCGTCCAGCAACCCAGAAATACCAGAGAATCTGTCCCCTCCGGCGAAGAGTTTCTTGAAAATGTGCTTAGCGACAGACCCATGGCGAAGATGGACGGCGAAGATGCTGCTGCGTCACCCATTCCTCGAGAGATTCGGTGTTATTGAATGCAAGGAAGACGAAGGTTTTGTGAACCCTTTGGGGCCTATGCGGTGGTTTTCCAGTATAGATCTGTTCACGGTGCCAATGTATTCGTATACTTATTTTGCGGAAAATAATGTTGTGTTCCCGGAGAAGGAGAAAGAAAAAGAAGCTGACGGAAATGGGGGTCTGATATTTCCTTATGGGGAAGAATATATGCAGCAGATTTTAGGACATGACTTCTGAGGACAAACTACGTACTCGGGAATTACCCAATTTGTTAAAAACCTTTAAGCTATTGTAACACTTTGTCCGAGTAATAGTACTCTATTGTATAGCATTCACAATGCAATGTGCACCCTGGTACAGAATATAAATGGCCCTCTTTTCTTTTCTTTCTTATTTTGTTTGGCTATCATGGAAGTGCTTCTCTTAAGATTTTGCTTCGGAAGGTAAATTATTGTGTGAACCATGGTCTACAGTGTTATGTGAATTATAACAAAAATTACATTTTTAATATATTATTTGTATACGGAATGTACCTTATAAAACATAATGTACTTTTATTACTCAAATAATGTATTTTTCTTGATTACAATATACATTTTTAATATACTAAAAATAAAATATTTGTGTATTGAAGGTACATTATTTGATAGTTTGGTCGACATGGTTATGTGGACCATGATCCAAACAATAATGATTGATTAATGTGAACCACGTCTTTCATAAATAAAATAGTATTTATTGATATATTCACGAATGAAGATTAGTGTAAGTATGTATAGTAACTAGTAAGGGTTTAAAGATGTCTCTTATAATTATAGCCTACTCAGGACAACTCGTGATCTAATTAATTTTTTTTAATTAATACTAAATTTAATCAATTTATAAACACCCAATGAATGAAATCACATCAGAGAGAAATATGGAAGGCAAAATTCAAGATAGATAAAGAAACATTTTCCTTTGAAGTTGAAATACAATAACTATAACTATTATATAAAAATTACAAGTTTTACATAAGATACATACATAGAGAAGAGAATTTATGTATTAACTGAATGACTTTATTGATCATTCATATTTATGGCCTCAAAGGAACACTTATTACTATTCTTACAGAGGGTATCAAGACTACAAAAATGGTACATTTGCAAGGCCAAAAGGTTTCCCCTTCTGCTTCACACAAGGGTCTTTGGCCTGAAATTCGGCGAATGTAACGACGAAAGTAGTGTTTCATCGCGTTGGACAGATATCGTCCATACTGCAGGAAGGGAACGAAAGGTTCAGCGCCCGAGGTTTGGTTTCGCCAGGTGAAAAATCGCCAAACAAGATGATGAACTAAAAAAAAAAAAAAACTCGATCTTTACCTTTTTCCCAAACAGATGATGATATCACCCGTCACGGTTGATCTTCTCTTGTGCTCAAAGGCAAGGGCCGCGGCTTTTCTCACTAAAGCTGATCCAGCAATGCACCCCGATACGATGGGGTTCATGCTCAGTTCCCCGTTGGCAGCACAATCGCGTGCCCAAGATAGAAACACGGCAACACTGAAAGCAATAACGAGGAAAATCTTTCGTTGAAATGATAAGTGTTGAGCGTATAACATAAATGTGCAATCCAACTATTAAGCTTAGGCTTTTAGTTGAGATGGAGCATATGCTTCAATTTGGTATCAGAGCCAGACCGTTTCAAATCACAAAGAAGTGCTCTGCCCTCTTCTCAAGGTCACTCAACTGGGATATAATGCACATGGACCAAACCACACTAAAAAATTGAATACAACCAAGTAGCTAGTCTAACCCATATAAACTCATATATTTACTCTTATTTTTTCAATGTGGGACTCTTAACTTTCAGAATAATTATTCATTCTGGAATGAAGACGAGGAAGATAAGATTCCTTACCTTCCTGAAAGTACATCACCCTGGCCACCACAACGTCGAGGAGAGCCATAAATATTTACAGCACAAACTTCAGAAATCACGAAAAGAAGATAGTAAGGAGAACCAGAAGCAATTTTATATACTCGACAATGCTTTTTTCATTCTGTGAGTGGGTGGAAAGGATGCCCCGTTATGTAAATAAATACCTGTTTTACCATCACTGATCACATCGCTTTCCCCTTTACGTAAAACTGTAACATTGCCAATCCTGAACAAGTCCACAACCAGTTAATTACACGAAACTTTAAGCATAGATAAATATGCATAATCATCCAACAAGTTGAGAAATATTGCACAACAATTTCATTTTTAAGTTATGCGATCGATAAGGTGGTTTTGTTCAGGAAACAAGGTAAGGGAGAATTTACGCTGTAGCAAGGGCTTGTATTTGCCTCGCTGCATCTTGTTCATCAACTTCAGTCTCTAGTACCTTTCTAATGAGCCGTTTATACTCGTTTCTATTGGGGGTTAGGACAGCTAGAGGATAACCGGCAATCAATTCAAGAGAGTTCGTCACGAGAAAAAGCCCATCCTGCGAAAATCAAGAGCACCAAGTCATCGAAAATCCAAAAATAAAGCGGATAATAACTTTTTTATAAAGTAGTAACTTTCACCTACCCCATCTATGACCATCGGGACATCACACTCCCGTGCAAGCCTCATAATGATGCTCACACATTCCTGAGATAATTTCACGAGTTCATAGAAGAATTTGGTTTGACCAACAAATCAAAGACAGCAACGTAAATAGTTAATAGCGCACCAGAAGAAACGGGTCCCTTCCGAGGCCTGGCCCGACAACTAAACAATCAAACTTCTCCATCCATTTCTCGACTTCTCCAATCACTTTGGTTGATATTAAATCCTTTTCCTCATCCCTGGGAGAATTATTCAAAAAATATTAGGGCAGTCTCAATATTCAAAAGGAGGTGCTTTCTTTCTTATTTGACAGGTAATTGAGACGTTAAAAATTATTGTAATGTGGACTCAATATGAAATCTAACCTAATATTGTAAGATTCTTCTAGAATAGGATGAACAATTAACTCGGGGCTGTAGCTTTTTATAATTGGAGCAGCATCTTTGGTGCAAAATACATGAGACAAATCTGCACCCTGGTAAACCGGAAATGTCCAAGCAAAATAGAAGGTCTCAGCTGTAACAAATAACCTAATTCCCGCAAACAAAATAACGTCGTGGATAACAAGAAGCTATAGAAACATATGGAGAGACTGAGAGAGAGAATAAAGTTGGATAACTAACAACTTTTAAGGCTGATATAGCTGAAAAGTACGGTGCGCCAGTGTATTCTCGACAACCACCTATAACAGCTATCTCCCCTAAATCAAAATGACAATGGAAACAACGAAATAATGAAATAATGATTAGCAACACACACATAAAAGAGCACTTGAAACAACCAGCTTGGTTGGCGTGAGTGGCCCCTTAAAAGAGGTTGGGAGTTCGAACCCCCTCTCGTATGGAAAATCCGATCTGGCCAGCACTTTGCCCCTCAATTGGGCTGGCCCAGTGCGAATGGGATTAGTCTGAGTATGGTGCAGGCTTAAAGGTGCCTCCTACAGTTAGGGTCTGCTCAGGACACCTTATGGCCTGACCAAAAAAAAAAAGAAGAGCATTTGAAACCTCAATCAAGCACAACTGTCACTGTCATAAAATGAGAACCTGTCTCAACTTACAAGTTCGATTGAGATGTATAAACACATTACAATAATGCAAGTGACTTAGCAACCCCCCTTTACTACATATTTTATATTGATTACCGAGTATATCAATATGGAATTATGTTTCGCAGCTCAACCAGCCATCTTTCCTGAATTATGAAACAAAGTTATAACCAACTCTTGTCTGTTTGCCTTTCTTCTTTGGAGTCAGTTTATATCATACAACAAGACATTCAATTGGCTGAAGCTATAGGAATTTGAAACCAATCAGTGTCAAATACTTTCCAATAAAATGACATATGGCCTGTTTGGTAAAATAGTTAGCCTATCAGTCAATTTTGGCATGTTTGACCACTATTAGTTGTTTTATTTGGTTAAACAACTAATATGAGTTTTTTGTAACAGCTTATTGCTCCAAAACACTAAAATTCAAAACGAAAAGCTTTTTGAGAAAGTCATTTTGTATGTAATCAGCTATCAGCTACCCGCTAATTTACCAAACATCTTTCTACAATGCTATCAACTAGTCAAACACACTAACTCAATCGGCTAACAACTATTTGTCAAACACCCCAATAATCCATGAAAATTGAAAAATATACCTTCAAAAATTCATCTTTTATGCACCCCACAAAGGTTAAAGAATTAGCAATTACAACCAAAGCACTTTTCTTGGGGGCGACGAAGGAAACCACAACTACTACCTGAGGGTATAACCCCGGCCTTGTGGTCCTAGTCGGTAGAAGACCAAGGAGGTAAAACAGATTAAGTTGCACATAACTGACCGGTTCAAACCAATAAGGCCGGCCAATAGGCAATTACAACCAAACCACAACAAAGCACTTTTGTATATATAAGAAGCGACAAATTGTGAAAACAAGATCATAGAGAGCAGCACAAAGAGAAACTCACCAGCTTGGCCTTTGTGCTTAGTTAAGCTAAGATTCGGAGTTATTGATCTCAAAATGGAGACGGCATAGGACTCCGAAGGCCTGCCGCTCATAATAAACTGCATTCCAATATAATTCTGGTAACCAGGAATCCCTGGTTCTCAATGTAATCCTCTTAACACCTTATCAAGAAGACAATAACTGCTCCCTTTAGCCTATAGCAGCTGAATTGCCCAGTTTCAAACCATCCCCAAATCAGAATCTGCTCATAAAATTACATGAAAAGAATTGGGCATTTCGTTTACGTGAAATTGGAAGATTGGAACTTTACAAAACAAATACAATGGAATTACAGGATACAAATTGAATGTGAACCAAGAATGAGCAAAGGGAACTTGCAGAATGCGGTTTCCGGTGGCCGTAAAGAGAAAGATGATCAAAGATGCGAGCATTTCTTACGGTTTGCAGAGGCAATCGAGCTCTCCGGAAAATGTTGGTTGTTTTTGGCTTCAGGGTGTTTGAGCCATAATTTACATCGGACCCCTCATAATTTTCAAAACTCTATTTGTCCCCTCCTTAGATCATTTTCAGAGATACCTATGAAAAAAGAAAACTTGTGTCATCATATATATTACCATAATTTTTTTTTTAATACTACTGACTCTATTACACCGTCTCTATTAATGTTCAATCTCATGACCATTCATATGAGAGAATCACTACATGTCATCTGAGCAAAAAGTTTTTGGCGATAATTTAAAGTAATTTAAAATCAAATTAGTATTGAATCTTGTTTGAGAGTAAACTTTTTGACAATTGACACTATAACTATTTCTAACTATGTTGTTTACAGTATCAAATACAATATATACGTCATATATGTGAATGATTGGTGCCTAAATTGAATATCCTATATATAATTTGAAATAAGTATATAAAAGCATCTCCATCAATGAAAGGTATGTTGGAGGAGTTTGAGTTTTTTGTAGGTCTCGCTGATTATAAGAGAGAGAGAAAGGGGGGGACAACAAGACCTACCAAAAAACTTAGACTGCTTGTGAGATCAGTCATTTTGTAGCCACTTTTTTATATGATCAAGAAGACTAATAGATCACTTGAGAGTCAAATTTAAAACTTAATTAACAGAATAACTAAATTGGGTTGAGTTGTCCCTTATTATATGGTTGATTTTATTATCTTAAAGATGAAACAAAGTAAATAGTGTTATTTTTTGGTAAATTCTGCAAAATGTGGGGTACAATAGTGAAGAATAGATATAAGGGGATTAAGATGCAATAACCATCGACAGCTCAAAGAACTGAACTTTCAGAATAGCGAAAGCGGAGAAGTAAGAAGCGGAGGGGAAAGAATGAGGGAAACGGCGATAATGAACGCTATGAGATCTGGGGTGGTGGTGATTGGAGCTGTAGCGTTTGGATACTTGACTCTGCAGCTGGGTTTCAAGCCTTTTCTTGAAAGAGCAGAGGTACAGCAGCAAGCCCTTCTTCACCGATCAGAGCCATCATCGTCCCAAGAACTCTCCGATACTGAATTGTTCTTCTCCGATGATTCCTCCCAGTCAGACCAAAACACCTTGTGATTCTCGCACCCAAAGTTCATTACTTTATGGGATTTTCCCAATTTATTTTTATTTTTTTTCAGATTGCTAGTTAAACTGATGGGGTTAATGTAATACTTGTGATTGTCTTCTTGGAAGTGTAATGATATTCTGAGTTGCTTTTCTGCTTGATGCTTTCTCACCTTATTTTGTATTGATCTATTTTCTTATTAATTCAATTGATTTCTTGCTATTATGTTGTCATAGTCACTGCTTTATTATCTTATTCAATGCCTAAAAATTTGAATTTTTGGGTGATTTTGTAATGTTAGTAGGATTTTTTTCATGAAATTCATTAGTGGAATGGTTAGAAAAAACAGTCTTTATAGTTGAACCTAGAGGAATTTTGTAGGTTTTTGTTGATTTGAGTCGGTTAGAGTGACAATGGCCTTCTTGGTTTGAGCCGAGTTATGGGCAATCTAAGTTATTTTACCTCGTTGTGGTCCTTTGCCGACTAGAGTATGGTCCTTTGTTGGCTAGGATCACAATGCGGCTTCACCTGCACCTTCAAGTAGTGGTTGTGGACTTTCCAAAAATCAAAGGAAAGCTGGTTGAAGGCACTTTTCTGTAATCTGGAGGGTTAAGGAATTAGTGATGCTTCTGATTAGGACATTAGTGTTTTTTTTTTTTTCAATTTTTTGTGGAACTACTGTGAAGTTTTGGCTATGCGAACATTGTTAATTCTTTGAAGCTGTGCAGGTTGCTGTATTCAGTATTCTATAGTTTGTGGTGTTCTTTATTTGGCTGTATTGAGACTTGAGACCTGAGAAGTGAACAAAAGCTTAAGCAAAACAATCTGCATATTTGGTGGGAGAAAATTAAGAAGTGAAAATGATGTGAAAGCTTTTCATGCATGGATGCATCAAGTTCTTCCATTGGTTTTCCCTTTTCAATCCAGGACTGCTTGGTTGGGGAAAGAGATCGAGCTTGCTCCGTATATTCTATCAATCATAAACACAAGAAATGGGCAATGCTTAATGGCAGAAAACGCAGAAAAAGGCAACATTTAAACAGATTAAACGCAGGTATATTATTTAGCCTCTGCTCAACTCATTCATTGAGTGTGACTTAAGATCATATTTACTATGCAATAAAGGGTGTATCCTTCGTTTACTGAGTCTTACACTCCTGGATTACTCCCAATTTCCCCCCACTTAGCAACAGTGAAGAAAGACTCTTTCAAACTCTGCACTGCTCTCCTGAAACTGAGAATGATTTTGTCTTAGATACTTCCTCAAAAAGTTTGCATTTGCAATTATTATGGTCTTGCCACTTGCCAGAACATGTATCCACCAGCATTGCATGCACACAAAGTTGCTATTATTAGTGTCAGTTTGGTAACCACAAGGTTTCAAGTTCGACTCCAGTGAGAGCGGAATATTGACCTTCTTGATTTGAGCCGGTCAGATATAGGCAACCTAGGCTAGTTTACCTCCTCGTGATTCTTTGCCAGTTAAGATCACAAGGCGGGATTTTCCAACTGCACACCTCGAAGGCTCGAATAGTAATTGCAGGTTTCCCTAGTCATGCATAAAACAAGACAAGAAAGTGGCTATGGGTGATGATGTATTGATGCTGGCCAAGAATACTGCTTCAAAGATGCACTGCAATGACTAGACTGTTTCTCTTCTTTCTTTTATTATTATTATGAACTTGTCATCCTTCATTTGTCATCTTCAATGACAATAAATTTTGCAGTTTGCAATGTGTTGAGCTTCTCAAAGATGGTGACAAATGACAATTGTACAAATCAAAGTTAAATGTGCTGTTTATCATTGTTGACAGCTTCCAAAAGTCAAATCTATAGGGCCATGGGTGAAGATTTCTATGCTTTTATTCTCTATCATTTTGACCATTTCTATACTGCTTTCTTACTTTGAATCTTCTTTCCTCTTTCTTTTACTGAGTATTAAGAGTTAATTCCAGCAATGGTCCTCCGACTATATTGATTTTTCACAATTTGTCCCTGACTTGTAATTTAGACAAATTAGACACTTACTTTCGAATTCTTTCCAATGTTAGTCCTTCCGTTAAATAAAGGTTAAGTGGATGTTAAATTTGGGGGTAAAGTAGTCATTTTAATGCTTAGTGTATAATTTCCCATTGTATACGCGAAAACTCAGTCGAAGCCCTAGAACTAGTTCGTTCCCCTGGTCTTAGCCATCGTTTGCTGACGCCGGAGCTGAAGTTTCTCCTCACTGCCGGAGTTGTTTACCTGGGCCGTCCCCAATTGCCTCTTCTGCTTCTGCGGCTACGAACTTCTCCGTCTTCAACGCCACCGCGGTGGAGTGAGACCGTGTGCTTGAGAACGGCGTCGTTAAACGGGGGTTCAGTGGATTTGGCTCCGCCGCTTACAAATTCGTGATAATGTCGGCTTAACGAGGCGGTTACAACACCTTCGCCGTGATGGGACTGGCTTCAAAACCGCTGCACATTTTCGGGAAAGCTCAGTTACATTTGCGAGTGGGCCCCGACGGATGTTTCGCGGGATTCTGTTTCCGTTGCAGGTGAGAAAATCCTCCCGGATTGGGGGTATGGCCGGGTGTACACGGTGGTGGTCGTGAATTGCACGTTCCCGGTTCCCGTCGGCGATGCTGACGCCAGGGGCAAGTCCTAATTCACGCTGCCACCAATGGCGCCGGTGACACCCACCTCAACGTAACCGACACATTCAATGCCCTGACCGAGACGCCGCAGGATTTCCCAACTTTCACTTCTGTGTTCTCGTCTAAACCCAACTACGACTACCTCTACTTCGGTTCATCTCTGTACGGCAATTTGAGCCCTCAGAGGGTACGAGAAAGGGTGGCGTACCACGCTCGATTGATGGGCAAGAAATCCCATTTTGTGTTCTACGAAGCCGGCGTCGAACACCCTGCCGTGGTGGAGGTGCTCCGGCTGTGGATGGAGAAGAGATACGTGACATTACAGGACATGATGGAGTAAGAGAGGTTCGATGGCTATTACCACAACCAATTCTTGATTTTGAACGAGTACTTGCATAGGTACAGATTCCGGGCGAAATGGATGTTCTTCTTTGATGGGGATGAGTTCATCTTCGTCCCCAAGAAAAACACTCTCAAGTCAGTGCTCCATTCCCTCTCTGCCTACACCCAATTCACCATTGAACAAATGCCCAGGTAGGAATTATACACTAAGCATTAAAATGACTACTTTACCTCCAAATTTAACATCCACTTAACCTTTATGTAACAGAATGACTAACATTGGAAAGAATTCGAAAGTCAAGTGTCTAATTTGTCCAAATTAAAAGTCGAGGACCAATTGTGAAAAATCAATATAGTTGGATGACTATTGCTGAAATTAACTCGAGTATTAACTATTAAGCTTCCTTTCTTCTTCTTCTTTTTTTTTTTTTTTTTTTTTTTTTTTTTTTGGGTACAGCATAACACTAGTATTTGCATCGATAAAACTAATTTAATTGAGTTTCAATCAACAACTATTTCAATTGAGTTTCGATCGACTTCCATTCAACTACAACCCTTTCTCTATTACTAGAAGAAGTAGGTGAGTTTTGTGTTGAGAGGGGTTTAAATGTCTACAAATAAATATTATGGGGGTCAGGCGTAAATAAGTTGTAACTTCAAGGGGGCGAAGTGCAATTTACATTTTTACTATATATATATTTGAAGTAACAAAGAAAATTCGCAATTCAAGGTGTGTATTAAATAAATCTTACTTCTATATAATAATTTTCAAATCACACACAAAATAAATTACACTAAAATAATTATAAATGACAAACTCATTCTCACAACATTTTAATATGAGAATTGAGTTAATACTCAATTTAGTCATTCACTATAGTGTTTCCCATGTTAATATGTAGGTCTAATTGTGAAGCAATGTGTGTCGATTGCTAATGACACTGGGACTGTTAGTGTTTCCCATGTTAAGAGAACAGCGAATCGTGTGGCTCACGAGTTAGCTCGGACAACAGGGTTCTATGACTGTCTCAGGGGTGTGGACTGTTATCCCACCTGCGTGTATTGCTGGTTTACTAAGTCGTTAATGAATTTTGCTTTTGGTTTCAAAAAGTCATCGACTTCGATGACTTTACCCAATTGAGTCATTGATCGATTGGATCAATGACTAAATCGATAAAAATTAGTATAGTTAATGACTAAATTAGGTAAAATCACTAGAGTTAAAGACTAACTTGTATAAAATTACTATAGTCACGGACTAAATTGAGTGTTAATATATGTAAAGTTATCAAACTACTCAATAAACGATTCAATAAGATAAATTTATCAAAATTGATTACCTAATTAAGTGCAAAGGGTCATTTAAAATTAAATTAAAAGAATTTACTATAATCAATGACTAAATTGAGTTCTATGAAAATTATATTTCATCCATTTGCGAACTCGTTTCCTGATACTTTATATTATGTACGGAGCAAAATAAATCATTTGACATTTGTTGACATGGCCAAGACCAGTTTTATTATTTTTTATTTTATATTAAAAAGAACAAAAGTAAAAAAAAATAAAAAAATTACAAACAACATTGAAAACTTATACGAGGTGTAATTATTGTGATTAATTTCATCTCCCATTATGAGATTTTACAATTTCTGAAAATGCTAATTGAGTAAATGGATCATAAATCTTATATTAAAATATTATATTTGATTTTTGTTAATATTTTTCGGTCCCATCACACCAATTATTGAAAATACTATTTGTCCGACATTTTGTCTGCCTAATATAGATATAACAGTGTTACAATATTTTATATTTATTATTATTAGACGTGCATTAATGATTTGAAAACGATTTAATTAAATAAAATCACATTAAATTAAATGCTATAAAATTTGAAACATATAACATTAGTCTGGCAATAAACCATCTCTATTCTCTATCTTCATTGTTGTTCTACAGTTTTTATTTGTGCCTTTAATTTCTTGATGTTTTTCCATTTTGAATCTTCTCTGTATAGCAAATACATTTTAGTATGCCATTAATTATTTCCATATGAATTTGAATATAATATGTTTACCCAGTAACCACCATGTTCCATTTAAATTGGTGGAGTTCTTGACTCAGTAAATATAAAATTGTAAATTTGACACTGAGCAAATTTATTTCGTGCACATATTTGATATATCATTAATTATTTCTAAATGAATTTGAACATAATATGTTTACTCAATAACCACTCGTCCAATCTACCCATCCAAATCCCAATTTGTATTAAACGTGATGAGGTACAACAACAACGTTTAATCCAAATTAACGAACTATTAATTTGGTAATTCTAAAATTACAAATTTAACTCTTAGCATGTGACTAGCGTCATAAGGTGGAACCTCGAATATATGTTATAAGGTAGGCCCTTGAGTATATCATTAATTATTTCTATATATATGATTTGAATATACTATGTTTACCCATAACCAACCCCCCCCCCCCACCACCCCGCCATGCCAGGCTATAAACTCTTTCCATCATTTCAATTCACCCAACTGCCCACTCTCCCAAGATCTTCCATGGCCATGCTTTGCTTGCTCAACACCCATCTCTTTCCTAACAAGCTTTAATCTGGAAAAAGAGATTTTTTTTTTTTCCTTCATTACTCATCCACCAAGTAAAGAAGCCAAAGTAGTGGGAAAAACCCATGATTTAAACCAAACTGGGTATCATTGTTTCTTCTGTATTGCTTATACTCCACGGCTCTTCTGTCTTTTCCATGTATACACACACAGAGAGAGATATATGCTGCACATAGTTCAATAAAGGAGATTCAGAAATCCAGTTATTGATTCTTCTTATTCTTCAAGATGTCAGAGAGCCCAGATTGTGAAACCGTGGCTTTCTTGGATATGTTTAAGAAAGTTAAGCGCTTGAGGCTGTTTGAGCCGTCTGTGGGGGTTCTTGGGTTTGTCTTGGTTACAGTTTCTGTGATATTCTGCTTCTTTCTATTGGGCTACAGAAGTGTGGGTAAAGGGTTGAGGTTTTCTGCAGAGTCACAGAGGGTTTTATGGCTAAGGTTTGGTGGGTCAGCATCAAGGGAAAAGGTTGGGTTTTTGAGTGAAAATGGAAGCCAGTGTGATGTGTTTGATGGTGATTGGGTGTGGGATGAGAGGTACCCTCTGTACCATTCTAGAGATTGCAGTTTCCTGGATGAAGGCTTTAGGTGTGCTGAAAATGGAAGGCCTGATTTTTTCTACACCAAGTGGAGGTGGCAGCCCAAAGATTGCAATTTGCCCAGGTTCTTCTTATTCATTTATCTTTGTTATTTCACTGAATTTCGATTGTCTGTTCTTGCTTTCTGGAAAACTGTGCATATATATTCATGAAAGAACTGTGGAGAAGTTGTAAAGGTTCTGATGTTTTTATTTTTCCCACAAAAGGCAAAATTCGCTTGCTCCACACCCCGACCTGGCCCGACAAGGGTAAATCACGTGACTTGGTGGCCCGTTAAAGTAGAAAAAACTGTCCCGGGCGGCCATAAAGGGCCACAACATTGGGTGTAACTCCTATACTGAGTTTGCGTTCTTACTCACAATTTACCACCAGGAACCAATTGAGTTGCCCGGGCTTCTGATGTTTTAATTCTTATTGTTCAATTGGAGTTGCTATACCAGAGGTTGCAGTTTCTAGAAGTCTTAGATCAAGTTGGCATTTTTATGTTGAAAATAGTTTGGTTAGTTAAATTTAGGGGGAAATTTTCCTTTTTACCTCTCTAGGATAACTTGAAGAAGCATAACTTATTGCACCAGGAGAGAAGAAAGGAATTTTTGGAGCATTTCTTTCTGATGACCAAACTTCATCAAGTCAACTTCTAGTTTTTTTTTGTTTTTTTTTTTAATGAGAAAGAATCTGTTGTATTTTTGCTGGCAGGCGGTGTTTGCAAAGGAAAGATTGGGATGAATGTAGCTTTCACCCTCTGCTATTTGTTTTTCTATCTGTTTAATTTAGCGTTTTGATTCGTCCTGTTCAATTTGTTTATCTTGCATATGAAAACGACTTGTGGTGTGAATTATTAATCCACTGCTCAATGGATTCTCTTGGGATATATTTAGTAGAGTGTCGTTTTAAGGCTTCTTTTAACAACCTACTTTATGTGATTGGGATTTAAACATCTGTCCTTTCTTTCTGTGGTCTCTCTCCTTTCTTGCTAGCAATGGACCCTTTGATATCTTCTGTCCTTTTCCCCGAGATTGTTTGGATGATGCTATGAAATAAGCTTGAATCACAATAGAGAATTCGGTTTTTCTGCAATGATATTGTCATATTGAATCTGTTTGTTGTTTTATTGTTTACCTCGTCTCTTGATCTAGCTTATTTGTTGATACTCGAGGCTTGTCTCCCCAGCTTCTTTTACCAGATTTAGTTTGATAAGAGCTTTTAACAAAGAATTTCTGGAAAAAGGTTTCGATATGCTTGGATTGAAAGTTAAACAAATCCAGTTAGTTGTGCAGATTCAATGCAAAGGTTATGCTGGAAAAACTGCGAAATAAACGTGTAGTTTTTGCTGGGGATTCGATTGGAAGGAACCAATGGGAATCCCTGCTCTGCATGCTCTCTTCTGCTGTTGCCAACAAGTCGTCGATCTATGAAGTTAATGGCAACCCCATCACGAAACACAAAGGCTTTTTGGTGTTCAAGTTTGTCGATTACAATTGCACCCTGGAGTATTACAGGGCACCGTTTCTTGTGCTGCAGAGCCGGCCTCCTGCTGGATCTCCCGCGAAAATGAAAACCACGGTGAAGCTAGATCAGATGGACTGGAGCTCGTCGAAATGGAGGGATGCAGACGTGCTCATTCTCAACACGGGACATTGGTGGAACTATGAGAAGACTATAAGAGGGTAAACCAACGTTTTTCCCAAAAAAAAGATTCGATTTTTATTCAATTATGATGAAGAAAGTTAGTCTAATACTCTATGTCTACTCGTGCAACTTAAGGTTGGCATATCTATACGTTTTTTCTGTTATGTTCGACTGTGATAAAGACTTGAAAAACGTTTTTTTTTTTTTTTTTTTTTCCAGGGGCTGCTACTTCCAGGAAGGGTCAGCAGTGAAAACGGATATGGAAGTTGATCTTGCATACCAGAAGTCGCTGCAGACCGTGGTAAACTGGATAAACCGTGAAGTGAATCCATTCAAAACGATGGTCTTCTTTCGTACATATGCTCCTGTGCATTTCAGGTTCATCTCGACTTCCAATGATGCTAATTTTCTCGTGGCGTTTATACTACATCTCGTCTCTAAGTTGGCTAAAACCTTATTTCTTTGCAGGGGTGGGGATTGGAGAAACGGTGGGAACTGCCACACAGAAACGCTTCCAGAGCTGGGCTCTTCGTTGGTGCCATCCCATACGTGGGCGAAATACAACATATTTTTCGATGTATTATCATCATCATCGTCTCAGTCACACAAATCTGCTCCAGCGTTACATGTTCTGAACATAACGCATATGACCTCGAGGAGGAAAGATGGGCATCAATCTTTATACTATTTAGGTCCTGCAGTCGGGCCTGCAGCTCTGCAAAGACAAGATTGCAGCCACTGGTGTCTGCCCGGAGTTCCTGATTCGTGGAACGAGCTGCTCTACGCCCTCTTTCTGAAGCGAGAGGCGAGTAGGAGGTTGAATTTAACGTCGTCTCGGGTACAATGATGATTGATCACAGCTAGCAAATGTACATTATTTATACAGACAAATAGGAATGATAGGATGCAGTGAGAAGAGAAAGATGGAGTTGTTCAGACTTGAGAGTTTAGCCTCAGCAAAATACAGCATTTCTGGATGTCTCATTTAAGAGGATTGTGAGAATAGGTGTATATTTTTGCATTTTTGTTGTTCTGTTTCTCAGAATCACCCCATTTTTTGGGTAAGAAATGTATAAACTCTACATCCTTTGAATTAAGAATGATAGCGATGCCAACACTTTCTTGATCGAGTCCATATTACATGATTTTTCTATGGCGATTTACATTATACTAGAGCGAGGTTTGCTCAGTGCACACCTTGGGTGATGACTACAGATTTCAGTATGGAAGTAACCTCTCAATAATAAATACAATAGTAGTGATATATTAATATGTAATATGTAATATATAAATATAATCTAAATTCACCTCATGTAATTGACATAATTTAAAAAATGCTCTAAATTTGGAAGTCATAATTTTATTCAAGAAACTTAAATTCTAAAAAGCTCAATTAAAATAGTTGAACTCAATAATAATTGTAATTATATCAATTAATAGGTTAACAACCTCTGACTTACAGAAAAGTTCGTAATTGTTACTTAAATGTATACTTTGGGTAAAGTTCGTCCTGTGACTCTAACCGCTAAAGGACCAAAAGAAGTAAACCAATCTAGATTGCACATAGTTGACCAATACAAACAAAGAAGATCATAAATAACTCTCGCGATAAGTCAAACTCGGAATCTTGTGGAACCAAAAAATTCTAAAGGTTCTTAAAATTTAAAAGAAAAACTTTTGACACACTTAAACTCGAAAAAAAACAATTGAATATGCTAATTAATTCATGTGAACTGTCTATTAACATTCTTGTTTTGAACCGGTCAACTATGAGCACTTTGCAACTTAGGTTAATTTACCTTCTTGTAGTCCTTTGCCGGTTAGAATCACAATACGAACTTTATGTTGTACACACGGTAACGATGATAAACTTTCTCGTAAATCAAATAACCTATTCGTTGTTTATTTCAACTTTTTTTTTGAAGGCCAAAATATAGGCATATATTAATGAATGAACGAAGCAATAAAGTCATGAGAGACAGAGTCCCAATACAAAGAATGTTTCTGATCAAAAGCAGTTGAAGCTAAAGTATGAGCATGTAAATTAACTGATCTAGAAATAACATTTAATGAGAAGTAATTAAATAGAACTATTGTCGCCCGACACTGGTCCACAACCATCCCAACATAAGATAAGATAGTCGCAGGACTAGTGTGCAAGGAGCTTCGTAATTCTGAGCAATCCGTGAGGAGGTCCACATCCAACTCGTCTCGATTCTTGAGCCAGGATAGAGCTTCTTTGCAAGCGAGTGCCTCTGCCATAAGGGGTGAGAAGGAACCCAGTAGTTTGCCATTTGTTGCCGCCTTGAACGAGTCGTCCGGTCTGAGTAATACCACTCCGTATGTCGCTTCCCCGGTGGCCTGCTGGTACCTGGCATCGACATAGCATCGCGGCCGAGCACAAGGAATTTTTGCATCTGTTTCTACCGATTGCTGTCGAGGAGCACGCTGATGCACCTGTGCGTACGCATGCAGTGCCGCGGCAGCCCGCCTCAGAAGTCATGAGAAGGACTACAAGTGTCCAGAAACAATAGTCTAGGGATGTTAAATAGCAAAAACGATATTCTGGGACTAAATTTGAAATTACCACCAAAGACAAGGGATCTAATTAACCATTTTAAAAATTATAATTATTGCATAATTATATAATCTTAACCTCACTATTATTATTATTATTATTATTATTATTATTATTAAATACTAAATAGCAGAATAATTCCTGAAGCTTAAGGCTCAGCTTAACTGCTTAAGCCCTTAACCGCGCTCGGCGTAAGCCACAAGCCACCATACCCAATAAACGCGAAACCATACATCCTTCTGCTACTTCGATACTAATTCTGTACTCCATCAATGGCGGATTCCGCCGTCCAAAGCCGATCGCGCGACCTCGACAAGCTCCTTCTCCGACCCGGCCACCTCGTCGGGCCAGCTTTCGAGCCCGGGGAAGAGGTAAGTTCCTTGCACTTTAAAACCCTTCTCGCTGTCTTTCTCCTGCGAATTTTTTCAAACAGTTGGACTGCATTTAGTTCTTCGCAGGGTAAGTACACATGTAATACCTTTTTGTTGCTCGTTGCAGCTGAGAGATGACATCAAGGAGGTTGCTAGGCTGTTGGTGGTTGGGGCGGGTGGATTGGGTTGTGAATTGCTCAAGGACTTGGCTCTATCGGGTTTTCAAAACCTTGAGGTGATTGATATGGACAGAATCGAAGTCACCAATCTCAATCGCCAATTTCTCTTCAGGTACACACTTGTATGATTTCTTTTATTACAAATTGGACTTATAATTGTTGAATAATTGTCTGTTATTTATTTTTTTGAGATTAATTTTCTGTTCATTTATTATTGTCTGATGTTATTACAACTTAGGCATGGTTAAGTTCAAGTTGTAGCTTGAATATATGGATATATTTTTTTCTTCACTTTCTGAGTAATTGAAATTTAACCACCACTGAGCAAAGGATAACCTGTTAATATTCTGATTCAACCACACTTTCTTGTGGTATGTTCTTGAATCTTGCCAACACTTTAAAGCAAAATTTAACTTCTTTTAGAAACACTTCTCATGGATCATCCACTGTAGACTTGAAGATGTGGGGAAGCCAAAGGCTGAAGTTGCTGCAAAGCGAGTGATGGAAAGAGTTAGTGGTGTGAATATCATACCACATTTCTGCCGAATTGAGGATAAACCATTAAGCTTCTATAGTGATTTCCACATTATTGTTCTTGGCCTTGATTCTGTGGAGGCTCGGAGCTACATAAATGCTGTGGCCTGCGGATTCCTAGGTTTGTCTCTTGTCATATCTGCTGCTACCTGCAAACTTTGCACTTCCCTTGCATCAGCTCTTGAAATTTACTTTTAATTCTTTTTCAAAAGCATCTGCCTTTGAAATTCATGGTAAATGAAGGTCATTGAGGATATAAGAAGCATTTTCTCATTCATCCTTTCCTTTCCTGCTGCTTTGAGATTGTAGATATTTTAGTGTAAAGTATAATTTGCACACCAACAGACATATTTGTCAAATATCCTTATCCAGGCACTACTTAGGCTGGTTAGGTATAAAAGTTTAGGTGGCTTAAGAAAACAAGTTGCAGGAAAATGATTTCTATAGTTGTATGATTATTTTGACAGTTGGAAATGGACTACTTTTGTCTTTGTTTATGTGACATACATTGGTTTGGTGGTTAACTGTAGAGTACGACTCTGATGACAACCCAATAGAAGAAACAATTAAACCCATGGTGGATGGTGGGACTGAAGGATTCAAAGGGCATGCAAGGATTATAAAGCCAGGGGTCACTCCATGTTTTGAGTGCACAATTTGGCTTTTTCCTCCACAAGTGAAATTTCCCTTATGTACTCTTGCAGAGACACCAAGAACTGCTGCTCATTGTATTGAGTATGCACATTTGATTAAATGGGATGAGGTAATCTTTTATCAACTTGTCCTTTCTCTTCAGGGCAATTTTTTGATTGCTTATCTCCTGGCACTACACTCTCACTTGCAGGCTCATAGTGGCAAAAGTTTTGATGCTGACAATCCTGAACACATGCAATGGGTCTATTCAGAGGTTAGCAATCATCTTCTTTCCAAATGCAATGGAAAATGTGTTCATGTAACACTTCTGCTGCTTGAATTTTAAGATATCATTTTTGGAGCATGCAATTTTATTTCTCATTTCTGTAGGCTGTCAAGAGAGCAGAGCTTTTTGGAATTCCAGGAGTTACATATTCTTTGACACAGGTAAAGTACTCAACTTATGCTTTGGAGTCTTGAATCTTCTCTAGATATCTTATAGATTGCAGTTCCTTTCCTAAACCATCTATCCCCATTCAGCAATTAGAGGAAATTTCCCTGCCTATTTAAGCTTTACTATACCTCCATAATTGTTTACTCAGTCCTTACCTCTTGGACTTTTTCTTTGTTTATTTCAGGGTGTTGTGAAAAATATCATACCTGCTATAGCATCAACAAATGCTATTATTTCGGCTGCTTGTGCTTTGGAAACCTTGAAACTTGTCTCTGGATGCAGCAAAACATTGTCTAATTATTTAACGTATGCCTACTCCGAGACAGCTTATAGATTACTAGTTCTATAACTATGCTCTAACAATTGAAGCAATGATTTTGGCTTAGATATTTTAAAATTAGTAAATAATGACAATATAACAAACTTTGTTGGTGCATTAGGGTGTCAGCTGATTTGTACCCTCCCTTGTTTCAAGAAATGATCTGTACTTGTAAATGCTGTTTTTGAGCCATTGTGGAAAATATAAGGAAAGGAATGTTTTTCTGATCTGGAGGAAATCTTAATTTTTATTCCTGTATTTTCTCTGTTCCATATGAATATTACCTGTAGTATATATTGCATATCCTATTTGGTCTGTGCGTCATTATGCTTTAGAATTGAAGGTAAAGAATGTAAGAAGCTATCGTATGCATATATTATCAATTCTCATTCATGATTAAACAATAACACTGTGGTGCTATGCTGATTCTTGATATTCAAAGTACTTGCAGAAATGCAATGTTGCTATTTTGCTTTGATTTCATTTATACGAGTTTCTTTTTCTCTTATTGCAAAAGGGCTGTTGACTAATGTGTTTCAGTTAATGTGTTCAAGGTATAATGGAGTCGAAGGCCTTCACACCAAAGTGACTGAGTTTGAGAAGGACACAGAGTGTCTTGTTTGTGGTCCTGGTGTTCTTATTGAGCTAGAACCTTCAGTTACTCTGAAAAAGGTCCTCTCCCATCTGGTTCTCTACTTAAAAATGTTAAAATATATAAAGTTCTTGCTAAATTGATTTGATTGTTAAGCATATATTATTGATTTGGTTAATTGCTGTTTCTTAAAATTTTAAAAAGTGGCCAATAATTGGTCCAGTTGCCTATATGGGTCATGATATCTGCAAGTTGCGTGATCAACACCTTCTTTGTTAGTATTATTATTATTAGCGTTATGTTATATTATTTAATTGTAACTGTTTTGACTTAGCTTTCCTATATGTTAGGAGTAGTTAGAGTTTACTTCTGATATACTCCTGTATCTTGTTTACGGTTTGTTCTGAATGCACTTAACTATATCAAATTAGTCCATCTCCAGAAGTTTTTGAATTAGAGTTCATTATTGTGTAGAAAACTTTGAGCTGACAAGTTTCAAGAAAAACGAATAGCGGTCTCAATTTTCTTAGATGTGCAGAGAAATCAATTTCCAGAACTTCAGCACTGTAGGGTCATGTTTGTTGTCGTCAATGAAAAAATTATTATTTTTTAATGCTTTTGATAGGTGGGAGGGGGGTGGGGGTGGTTATTTATGTGCATACGTACTTGATCTTGTATCTCAAATTCTTGTATTTTGTAACAGTTCATTGATATGCTTGAAGATCATCCTAAGCTGCTCCTAACTAGAGCTAGTGTGACATATCGAGGGAAGAATCTCTACATGCAAGCGCCTCAAGTGCTGGAAGAAATGACTCGATCAAATCTGGATTTACCATTGCTTGATCTCATGGATAAGACTCCCCGAGATATAATCCATGTTAACGGCATGGCTCGGAAGGGTGACAAGAAGCAATCATGCTTGAGAAAATTACGCGTGGTTTTCAAAGGCATCGATGGCGTTACAGACATGGACATGGCCGGTGGGGCGTAACTGTCATTCTGCATTGGTCTTTACTCGCTGAGCTCTTTGGTTGCAGGTTCATACACACACTCTACTCTGTGATCTCAATTCAGCAAAAAAGGCAGTAATTGACAAGACGTAATGTGCGAACCCTTCCATTTTTGCAAGATTTCTCCAAGTAATTTCATCAGTATAATGTGAGAATTTGATGGATTCTATGAACTTAAATTTAGATGTCTTTAGGGTATCTCTGGAGAGAACTTTTCTAAGTAAAAAGATGATGTGGAGAGGAGAGAGACAAGGAAACGCTCTACACTTTGTTGAAAACTGCAGTGTGTAGCATACTGCGCCCCAGCAGGTGTGCAATTTCTAATGATTCTTGTACTGAAGATTACGAGTTCGATTCGATTCTTGTTAATACCCGTTCAATTAAGTTCGTTGTATAAGGTTTCCATAGTGTTATTTACTTTTCATGTGTAAATTTTTTCTATAACATAGAAGTGAGGTAGAGTAGTGGTGGTAGGTTTTTCTCTTTCACCCAAAAAAAAAAAAAACTAATAGGTAAAAAGAAAGTTAAACTTTTATACGTTATATAAAATATAATTGTATTTAAATATTGAAATAATGAAATATTGGTAATTTAGTATTAAATTTTATACTCAATCTTTTAAAATTTAACAATTTAATACTAAATTTCTGTATTATGTGATGATTATATTTAATTATAATATCCGATTTTAAGAATTACATTAATATTCCGAAGGTGCATTAAGGGTAGTCAAATTACTTGTCACTTTAATTATTACAAAGTCATCTAGATGAATTGCCACGGAAGAGTTCAAAAGACAATTTAAATCAAACCCGAAAATTAATATCTCTATTATATTAATCAAACGCAAATATTTATTTTGGTCCACAATAATGGTAAAGTCCAATATTTGTATTATTAAGACATGTTAATGTATCACTAATGTTACTTAATCGTTGAGTTACACGAAACAATAACATTTAAAATTTTTATTGACACATTGCTATCACGATAGCTACACATAAATTACCTGTTTATACTTTTTTTTTTTTTTTTTTTTTTTCAATTAGCAAGACTTTTGAGGCCTTAATTCCTTTAAACATCACTAAAAGCAATTTTAGTAATGTAATGTTTTTGTTTCCGAAATACCGTCCAATCAAAATAAAATTACAGTATAGAAATTATGAATCTACAATATAGAAATTATAAATTTACTGTACAGAAATTATGAATGTGCAGTATAGAAATTATGAATCTACAGTACATAAATTATGAATGTGCAGTATAAAAATTATGAATCTACATTATAAATTTTATAAATTTACAATATAAAAATTATGAATCTACACCGTGTTCACCATGCGCATGGTAGACACGGGTCCACACCATAACGCTCCCTCCTCTTTCAAATACTGTCCACTGAACTATTGAGCTAAACCCATGCCAACCAGCTTTAAGATAACTTGAATACTTGATTGGGGGTTATTTGAGATATTATATAATATATTGTTGATTTATCATATTAGAGATATTAATTAAAATTGCAAAGTACGAGGAAGTCATCAACTTGAAAATAAGCCTCCATTCTCCCACTAGACCTCAAGCTTTCCATCAATGGCGAACTCTTCTCTGGCGCTCCTCTCTCTTCTTCTTCTCCTTCTCCCTCTCTCCCTCCTCCTCTTCCTCTACCTCATCGTCCGGCCGCGTCCCGTGAAAGTCCCCATCAGCAACCGCCACGTCTTCATCACCGGAGGCTCCAGTGGCATTGGCCTGGCTCTAGCTCTCCAAGCCGTCGCAGAAGGCGCCAAGGTCTCCATACTAGCTCGGAATGCCGGGAAGCTCGAGGACGCCAAGCACGCGATACTGCGCGCCACCGGCTGCGGCGTCACGGCGTTCAGCGCCGACGTCAGAGACTACGACGCCGTGAAGAGGGCCGTGGAGGAGGCTGGGCCTATTGACGTTCTGGTTTGCAATCACGGAGTGTATGCATCGAAGGAGCTGGAGGATCAGGAGGTCGAGGAGGTGAAGGTGATGATTGACGTGAACTTGACAGGGACTTTTCATCTCATCAAAGCGGCGTTGCCGGGAATGATCAGCCGGCCGGCGAACCGTGGACCTGGATCAATTGCCATCATGTCGTCTCAGGCCGGCCAGGTATATTTCCGATCTTCTCTCTCTCTTTTTGGTGGGTGACAGAAAAAAAATTGTACTCCTTAACAATTACTAAAGGGTGTGATGGATATATTAAGAATGGACGCGGAACAAATTAATCCCGTGAATTCAAGAACTTGTCTATAACTGATCGAATGTGTAATTGGTAAATCACATAACTTAACTTGTCTATAACTGATCGACCAGTTTAAATCAAGAAGGACAATAAGCTGTTTCCATTGGAGTCAAATTTAGAACTTGTGATTACCAAACTAACAACGTCAAAATAGAATAAGTTGCAATTTCACTAGACTAGTAATATTTTTTATAAGTATATAGAAAGTTATTACATTTTATTCAAAAATTACTCTGTATTATACATCTCGGTCTCACACAAAATATATTATTTTCTTTATGATCATTTGTGATTTGCATATATATAATCTGTTGTAGGTTGGCATCTATGGGTATACAGCCTATTCAGCTAGCAAATTTGGGCTGAGGGGCATGGCAGAAGCATTGCAGCAAGAGGTTATTGCACACAACATTCATGTCTCACTAATATTTCCTCCACACACTCATACTCCTGCCTTAGCTCAAGGTTCGTTTGAAAACATACTTTAAACATATTGTGAAAACAACTATATATTATGTATATTCTCAAAGATTTCAGCTCAAATAATAATTGTAGAGATGAAAAGGAGGCCACAGATTACGAGTAAAATAGCTGTTTCTTCTGGTGCATTTATGAAAGCTGAAGAAGTTGCCAAGAAAAGTTTGAATGGCATAAAATGTGGAAGCTTTTCAGTTGCATGCAACCTGGAGGGCTTCTTTCTCTCCATAGCTACTGCTGGTCTCTCTCCTCAAACATCGTTCCTTATGGCTTTTGTAGAGGCCTGTTTGGCTGGCATTATGCGTATTGCAGCTCTATGTTTCCAGTGCAATTGGTACACAATCATACAAAAGTGGCACCCAGGAAATAAGCAGTAATTTATCCCCCGACGGGAATGGGGACATGAATAGGTCGGGACGGATTGGGGATAGGGTTTCGGAGACGGGAACCTGAGTGTATACTCTCTACCCTGCTGTCCCGCCATGTTGCCATCTATATATATAAGTGCCATTTCGTTTTTAGATAGGGTTCAAAGATCACTTATAATTTATTGGTTATGTTTGGACTTTGGACATGTTTTATACATTACTAGTCATGCTTTATGTGAAACCTTTGCCATACAGTCTTTAGTTTAATGTTATGCTGGGCCTTCTTGAATATGAAACCGTGTAACACTTATTACGGAGGCACCAAATAAATACGGAGTACTAATTTATTTTATCTCATCTCATGTATTATTGCCCCCAGTGGAGTTCACACACCACCCTGTAATTTGTTGATTATGGTTAATTAACTGAACATGCTTTATCCATTGTCATGTGAAACCTTAGTTATAGTTCTTAGCTGTATGACTTTACGGTACGCTTTGTCATGTAAAAGATCACAAGGAGATAAACCAACCTAAGTTGTCCTTGTAACTCTAACCGACAAAGGATCAAAATGAGGTAAACTAATTTAAGTTGTCAATAACTGATCGACTCAAACTGAGAAGGTTAGAAAGCCCAATTTAAGTTACCAATAACTGACCGACACAAACCGAGAAGGCTAGTAGATAGCTTTCACGAGAACAAATGAGTATCTAAAATAAACTGAAAATTGATAGCAATCGACCATATTATTCTCCTTCAGTCCTTCTGACGAGCAAAACGTTTTGGCGGAAAATTTACAACATTCTTCACAAGTGATAGCAACTGACCACATTTATGACTGCGCTCTAGCAACTAAAATTATTTACTGAGAATCAGACTGCTCAGTCTAGAGCTCAGCTTACGCAATGTGGGAAGAAAGGCTGCCAAAGGGAAAAGAGAGAGAAGAATAAAAGAGGTGCGGAAAGCCAACAAACTAATGTTCTGAACTCCTCCATCCATTAATTAAGATAATGGACACTTATCTAACTTATGTAGGTTCAAGTAAATAAAGGAATACCGGAACTTGTAGTTATAATATTTAGTCTCACTAGGCCATATATCTCCGAGGCTCTAAGCAATCAATGCAGGACGCAAATCAATCGCCAACCTGAATGGCTGCGTTGATTTCTTCAGTCACTTGCAAATTAAGTTTTAACGAAGCATCATCAGGCAAGGAATCTATTCTGAAAACATCTTTACTTCTGACTGATCAGCCTCGGATGTTCAGTTTCTCCCCTGATATGAAAGAGCAATATGGGAAATCAAAAATTCAGATAGTATAATATTCAGAAACATTATTACCAAGGAGATATTTTAAACTAATTTTCAACATTGATGATCCTGCATGAAATTGGCAGTTATGATGAACAAGCTACTAAATATTTTCTGATATTCACAATTAATCCTCTAGAATACACTTAACACTCCTATAGAATTTGCAGTGTCGATATTAGAAATCCATTTTGGTTCTTGCTGAAGAGAAGAACATTAAAGTACCAGTAGCAGTGTATCAGGCCATTTCTATATGAAGAACCTTTTAGAGAAAGATGTATAGCAGACTCGGTTATTTCAGTGGCAGTAACGATAATGAAAAATAAGGAGGCCTCCCAAGGTACAAAGTATATTGCAGAACAGTTATCTAAAATTTAAATACCTGTTGAACAGAAACTTCAGTCTGATCTGGAATGGTGGTGCAGATTAAAGGGGTTACATTGGAACTCCTTTCACTTGCAGATTCCCGTTTATTTTCGTCATGAAAATGAGGATTTACACTCCCTTGCACTGATTTTCCTGAATGTGCAAAGCTTGAGGTGCCCACTGTGTCGCTGGATAAAGGACCAGAAGCACTACCACGTTTTGAGCTAAGATCAAGTCGCTCGATCATTCTGGCTACACCAGCAATGCCTGCACTCATCTCCCGCTGTACTTCTTTGCCAAATTCTTTGACAGTCGTATTCCGAGCAAGTAATTTTTCCTTAAAACCTCGTGTATTCTTTGAGAATGTTTCCTTGTACCTGATACCAATAATTAGAACTCTCAGTTAAAAACTAAATAATTTTCAAATGATAAAAATAAAATTGAAAGTCCCCTACCTGGCTGAAGCAGCAGAGAGTTTATATTTTATGGACTCTGAGAAAGCATGCAACTCAGATGAGCTTGATCTCTGGGGATTCTCAGGCGGTGATTCACTGAAAATTTTCTAAATAGTATGAAAATGAGCAGAAAAAGCAGAAAGCTTCAATCAGGGTAGGAGGTTGCAGCTAATACCTGAGCTTAACTGAACTGTCTCCACATGCTGCAGTAGTGGGGGATACATTTGATATAGATGGAAAGACAGACAAAGATGATGGTGGCCCAACAGTACTAGAAGATATTCCAGAAGGAGGTAGACCACTCCCAAAAATTTCATTAACTGGTGATTGAGACTCTTCTGAGGAATCACTTATTTGATGCATAATTGAACCAGCTGCAACAGGAGCAGAAGGAAGAACCTGTGCAGGACCAACTCCTGAAGACGTCTGTCTTATCCTTCTGTTAATAGATCGAGCTCTGCTGGTAAGAGCTGCAAATTGCCGCAGAATCCTCTCTTCAAACTCAGAATCTTCCTGGAGAGTGAACACCAAGTCAGTTGAAAATTGAAATGCAGCAATGGTAAACACAAGGTGCAGTCTATTCGCCCAAATCTTACCACCTCATCCAGATTGTTGCTTTCATGAATTTCAGGGGCAAATCGCACACTGCACCTTGACCTTGCATTCCTTTCATTCTCCACTGCAGCCAGCAGCTCTTGGCTGGATATAAAAAATCGTTTTAACAGAACTTAGATTATAATAATATATTTATAAAAAAAAAAAAAAACTATTGACAACCAATTCCTAATCGAGAAAATGCTAGTATGTTTTAAGCACAGTGGTGAGTGGTCTGTTTGGCTGCAAAGAGTTTGAGTACCTGGCAGCATCTTCCAAGAAAACTTGCCTTGAACAAATAGGGCAATCTTTGCTTCTCTGAGACCTGAACAATAACAAATAATGCTCAATATGCATGAGTAAATTGATCTTAAAATAAATTATGACCATTACAATGTTGTGTACATACCACTCAAGTATACACTGCAAGTGATATTCGTGTTTACATTTGGTGACCTGGAAAAGAAAAGACGGTATCAAAAATCTGGTGCTAACTATTAACTCCATATAATGCAAACATAGTAAATAATCAGAGTTCCAATGCAAGGCAGATAAGAAAATATCACCACAATCCACATGATAATCAATATTTACTCTATGTTATGTGGGTAGAAGAGGATAACAAGACCAGTGAAATCCATACAATGAAGTGAAGGTTAAAAGACCAAGAAAGCATATCAAGCAAGGGATGTTTACAGAACCATCAATGAATCCATGGAATTTTATTTGACAGTTGAGACTATCAGATGGCCTTCCATAGTTCTTGACTTCTTGGCAAACAAGCCCTGAATATTTACAAATTCTAATTTTTCCTCTTACTTCTTTGTTTATAGATTATCTCAAGTCCAAAAAATCCATCAAATTTCCTTGTTACCTAAAACATATTCACTTGGATCACGCATCAAAACCCCATATACTTTATCCACTTGAAGATACACAGACATCTAGACAACAAAGCTCCATGACTCCACAAACCTCAATTAGCTTTGCATAAAATCAACTACAATTCCTAAAATAAAATTAACAGAACAGCAATCATCCTAACCAGGGAAAGCCTAATAAACCATATGCTCGGACACACACCCTGCTAATATCAGTACATCTTCAATTTGCATAACCTAAACTGCAGAGTATAAACAAAACTCCCAGTATATACATCTTACAAGTATATAAACAACTTTGGAAGAGAATCAAACAGCTGAAGCTGGAACTTTAAGCAATGTAGCTTCAATCTATTTGTCTACGATGTACCGCATGTCTATAGAGAGACAGAGAGAGAGAGAGACTGAGATAGCATACAGTAGGAGGATCATTAGAACTAAACGGCTCGAGACAAATGCTGCATCCGTCTTCGAAGCCGCCATCGTCCGCGGCGGCAGTTGCAGACGACGAAGACGACGACGGTGCGGACGCGTAGATGATCGACGCCGGACTTTCCGACGGCAGAATCAGATCACTCGCCATTTTGATTACTGTAACAATGTCAGTCCAAATATTCCTTTTATATACATATATATACGCGTTTACATATATAGAGATAGAGAGAGGAAGAGAGCGTACCAGAGAAGTGTAGAGAGAGAAAGCTGTGCGTAGAACGTCAAAGCAAAGAATAATGGAGCGAAGGAGAACGCGCAGGAAATTAATCCGATTCCCGTTCAGACGGTTGTTGGAATCAATCAACTCTTCTAGTAGTGACTATCAAGTATACTCTTCTTTTTCCTTTTTTTTTTTTCAATTATTTAATTATTTTCCTGCGTTTTGTTCTATGGGAATTTCGATAGGCCCCTGAAGTTTCAACGTTTTGCCTGAAAAGACCAAAAACATTTTTATTAAAGTACTTTTGTTAGACAAGGGTTGGTAGACTTTGAGAGTTTGAGTGGACCTTTTAGGAGTAGGTGTGATCATGAGTCATGAGACTTACTAGTAGAGTTAAATTGTATAGTGGAGTTGTTGAAGTATTAATAGAGATCATGGTTAGGTTTTAAAAATGACACCCAAAAAAAAAAAAAAAAACTTAGTTCTTAGTCGAACCTGTTATAGGAGGTCTTCTTAGTGTAGTACAGTTTACCTTTCGTGTGTGATTTGAGGGTTTTGTTTATATTCTTGTGCAGTAATTTACCATTAATTTTTGACTTTTTAGTTTAAAAAAGAAGATGACAATGTCATAAGAGTTAAAGACTAAAAGTGAAATTTGCTCAATTTATTAATTAATTTTTTTAGTACTCTATTACAGGGTAATATATGTTCTATACTTTCTCTATCTGTTGCAGCCCAAAGAGTCAATACCCTACCATTGAAATTCAATTCTGTGACATTCCTTTAAGGAGAGCTATATATGTGTCATATGAGCACAACGTGCTGGGTAATTTTTATTAATTAACTTAAACACAAAAAAAAAATGAAAATTAGGAGAAATTATTTTTGCTTTTATTGTATGCATGCCGCATGGGGTTATTTGGTAATGTTTGAAATGTGAAGTAGTAGAATGCAAATAGAATAAAAGAAAGGAGCCTTAGAAAAAGTGCGAATCCGTCTTACACGTACCCCGCCGTCCAAGTTAGACTTTCCTTCCCTTTATTATCTTCCAAGCGTCATTCTTCAATTAAACGTGACGTTAATTTCTATGCTACTGATTGGTAATCAAGAATACTATAAAAGGAAATTTGCAAAAATATACCGTTTTGTTTAGAGTAAGAAAAGGTTCCAAACCATTCACAATCCCTTTTTAAGGTATTTGGTCTATATTAGAAAAGTAAATTTCGTCAAAATTAATTACGGAGTATAAATTAATCTCCTCAAACATAAAGAAAGTAATCTCTTAAATTATGAGTGATCTTTTTAAATATAAAAAAGTAATCTCTTAAATTATAAGTGATCTCAGCAAATAAAATCGACCACCCAAAACATATTCCCAATTTCCTTATCTTTATTATTATTACAATAAACACTAAGATTATTTTTGTAGACAATAAAAATCATATTATACAATATTTTTTTTAACTTATAGTGATGGGATCGCTTTAGTTTCACACACATTGATTAATTGGCGCATGTTCTAACTAATTATAATTATATATAAACATCCTCCCAGATGCTCTGTTAGACAGGGTAGCAGGGGCCCTTAGAATTGGAGTTCAACCTTTTGTAAGAATAATTATATATAAGCATTGAAACTTAACTTTAACAATTCAAGGAAAATCCAAAATTGATTACCCTTATGATGAATTTCTTAAATTATAACTAATTACTTTATACAATAAGTTTTTTCTTTTTGATGACAAGAAACCTGTGGTGGGTATAGTGATTGTGGTTTTTCCTCTATCACCCAAAAAGAAATTACTTTTCCAACGCCTACAAAACTTTAACATGCCAATATAATATGTATAAAAATACAAAAAGAATAAAGTTGGAATACAATGAAGACACGAAGTACATTCAAAATTTACAATATGCTTAAAATGCTCTATCAGGGGAAAAGAAGATGAAGATCCAGTTGAAATGATGCATATGATTATATGACCAATCCATCAGGGATGGTTGAGTTTTTAAATATGACAGTAACACCTGAACGTATGTAGAATCCTTCTGAAGTCCTGTCAGCTTCTTGTACACCCTGCAACACACACCAGAAAATAAGCAGTGAGTGAAATTTGGTGGATGACGAGGAAACTCGCAGTCACTATCCAAAGATGTGCACTCGGTAAACCCTGTCTTGTGATCCTAACCGGCAAAGGACCACAAAGAGGTAAATCAGCTAGATGACTGACTCAAACTAAAAAGGTCAATAGGCCGCTCCCGCTGGAAATTGAACTTGTACTCTTGTGATTACCAAGTCAACCGTGTGACTAACTTCACTGGGTTGCCCCCACCATTATCATGATCTTTTTTGTGGATGACGAGGGAAACCCGCAGTCACTATCCGAAAATGTGCACTCGGTAAACCCCGCATTGTGATCCTAGCCAGCAAAGGACCACAAGGAGGTAAATCAGCTAGCTGACTGGCTCAAACCAAGAAGGCCAATAGGCCGTTCCCACCGGAAGTTATTAAGTCAACCGTGTGAACAACTTGGCTAGGTTTCCCCCACCATTATCATGATCTTTAAGCTGCATGCATTAATGGGGTTTACCTCTGAGTTTGCAATGACAACGTTCTTCCCAATTCTAGCATTCTTGTCAATGATGCATTCCCTGCAGAAAATCAGGCACAAGTGCCATGTCAGATTGAACTGTAATGTTTTTGTCAGGCCTTTATGATCTGGGAAAGCTTAGAACAGATTTGGGTTGTTTGTTTTACTTGATTCTTGAATTTTCTCCAATTCCAATGGGCACTCCTCCCTCTTTTAAGAGGGAGTCAATCTCGGCGCTCGTTTCATAGAAATCTGCCCCCAGCATGACTGTATCCTGCAACAGTTTCCACAAATAGATGAGCAACATAGCAGCAAAAAGGAATGGTGCCATGGTGTTTCTTGATGTATCTTAAAGTATGCTAACCTTCAAATGAACATTCGAATTGATTCGCGACCGGATGCCAACAACACTGTGCTCGACGAAGCAATCTGACAAGAAACTACCATGAGATATGATGGAGTCAACAATCTGCAGAAAGAACATGGCTTTGCATCAGATCAAATAATTGTCTGATATATATCTTAATATAAGCATGTAGTCTCGGTATCAATTTAAACTTTTAGTTGAGACAGGGGGTTTAGAGAGCGTTGGACCTTGCTGTTAGTGATGGCTGATGGTGGCAAGTTCCTCCTCGATGTGTATATTGGCTTTGCGGCATCATAGAAGCTGAATCTTGGTGGCTGAATGAAGAAAGTACAATGTTGTTTCTCCCAGAATTGTACTAAGATCAGTATATTACTATATCCTATATAGTACTTACATGTTCAGTGAGGGCAAGGTTTGCTTCAAAGAATGATCTGATTGTACCAATGTCTTCCCAGTAGTCATTGAATAGATAAGCCTGCAAATCATCCCGAGCACTATAGTGAAAGTTCTTGGATTTTAATTTTTAACAAAGCGAAAGCCCGAAGAGGAACATCAAGATCATTCCAAGTGGCACAGACCTGTATAAAGAACTCCCTGGCTGAGGCAGGGATGATCTCTGATCCGAAGTCGTTTGCAGTTGGAAAACGCCATCTGAATAAACCAAAACGGGTTCCATTGGTGTCTGTTTTACGAGGTTAAAAGACAACATTTTTGTTGTGTTTCTTACCAGTCAATGCAAGGAATGAGACTTACCTTAAAAGGTTCAGAAGTATCTCCTTCTTGAAGACATAAACTCCCATCGAAGCAATGTACGGTTTCTGCTTAGCCTCCTCTTGGGAAAGACCCAAAACCGAAGTATCTACAGCCTGAAGAATTGCATATATATGCATTAGTCCAATTGAAATAAATTCTTTCAAGAATCATCAGTTACGCTGATTAGTGATTACCATTGCCTTCAAGTCATCTCCTTTGGGCTTTTCACTGAAGAAAAGCACCCTTCCTTTATCATCAATCTTCATCAGACCAAAATCTGAGGCGCGTCTATCACGAAAATGATGAAAAGGCTCAGTAAAGCAAACTGCAAATACATGTTAAATCTGATATTCGCTCTCGATTCTACCTGTCATCTATTGGCAAAGAGGAAATGGTAATGTCTGCCCCGCTTTGCCTATGGCTCTGCCGAGAAATGGATGTTTCAGTGTTCTAAAAACATAATCTAGTTTGGCAAGTGAATATGATTAATGGTTACCTGAACAAAGTCCATATAGTCCATTCTGTACAAATGATCACCAGATAGAATGAGCACATCTTCGATATCCTTACTTCTTGGATCCTATAATCGAGAACTTGTTGTACATACTGTTAAAATCCTCGGAACAACAGTTTTACAAACTAAACGAGCAATTAATAACACGAAATACAGATTAGTTGGTACCTCAAAGAGCCAGTGGAATTGCCTGACAGCATCTGCAGTACCTTGGAACCATCTCTTACCTGCTTCCCCGGGTGTTTGCGTTGCTGCTAAGACCTCCACGTAGCCATCCCCAAACGTGACGCCACTGCCAAAGTTGTAAGCCCGTGCAAGGTGCCTGTTAAGCGAGGCTGAGTTGAACTGAGTGAGAATGTAGACTTTGTTTATCCCGCTATTGATGCAATTGCTCATTGGAACATCAATCAGCCTATAGGCTCCTCCTATCGGAACCTGAAATTTCAGCACTCATGGAACGTTCCCCATTGGGTGCAGCACATATAACTAAATAGCAGTAACTACAACACTTACAGCAGGCTTGGCACGACGCTTGGTTAGAGGGAAAAGGCGGGTGCCAGCGCCCCCTCCTAGTATAATCGCCACAACTGTTCTTGGATCCGTCTTCTCCGTCTCAAAGCCTTTCAACTGAAATTTTTCGTTCAACGTGATTATGTCAAGGAAAATCTGTTCCATTAGGAGAAACCGAGAAAGAAACATGTAAGGACTCACCTTAGCCTCACCTGCAACATCAGTAGTGAGGGACATGTTCACCCTCGGCCTGGCAACAACATTGTACTTGCTACCGTTTCTTTGCTGAAACTTCCTAAGCTTTATCTTCTTCCCCATGAACTCTCCATTGCAGAACTTCACACTCAACCTGCAACTGCTTACTGTCATTGCAGCCCCTTCACGCAGCTGCCTGGCAGCCAACAGGGCGATTCGCCCATCGGCTGTCACTGCCATTTTTGCTGGAGATCAAGAAAGCAAAGTTTTTTAAGTGGAAATCACTTGACTATACATATGGTTTGAGCCTTGAGGCTGTTTTTCTGTGATACAATACATTGCTTACATGGACTGCAGGCTATTGGAGGACAAAGCTATGTTATCCATATTCAATTGAGTCCACCAATTTTTTTTCTGTCTCATCTGAAAGACTTTTTCTGAGAGAAAAATCAATAATTTTGCAGACTAGTCCTTGTAATGGCATTTGTATTTGCAATAAGAATATTCTTTTGGTTTCTTCCTTGAACCATAAAAGAATGTTACATACAAGCCATAGAAATGCATCATTACATGCCAGTATGGTCTTATTATTATCTTGCATTAATGGTCTAACAGCAGAAACTAAGATTCATGACAGAAGGGGAAAAAAAGACATTCTTGGAGGGTGAGATCCTTAGATCTGCACCTTTCCTATCAGATTTATTCGCGTCTTTTGCAAGTCAAAACCACACCATTGTCATTGTCTTTGTGGATAGCGAATAGCCCCTAGTTTACGAGGATTGGCATATATGCAGCCATTGTTATAAGAACTTGTTTGTTTTAACTTTTAAGCGTTCTTCAGTCTGGCCCGTGGCAATGTTACCAGATATTTCTGCAGCGCGAGCATTACAACCCATGTGGTCTTCGAGATCTTCTCCTTTGTCATCAAGAGCAGCGCTGAGCTTAGCACGGTCTTCAGGATTTGAGGCTGTAAGCCTTTGAAGAATCCTAGCAGGCCTTCCCGTTTCCAAATGGCAGAGAGCGCACCAGAGACTGTTTTCCGGGCCTGAGCTTGATCTTTGTCAGCAGGATCTTTCGAGTCTTCTTCTGATTCTGCCGACTGAATCATCACCTTGCACCTGTTCAGAATTTATGCTTTAATAACTGTTACGAAAACTTGAATCTTGAGGAATGTCATCATATAACATATAAACCTTCGTTGTTTTTAGATAAAAGTCCAAGAACGCAACACCATAAATGCATGGAGAATAAAAATAAGCTGATTTATCAGGAAAAAATAACATTTACCTTATTGCAGGGTACGTAATGCAGGTTGCAACACATTTTGACACTGCCCCCAGCACAAAAGCAGAAAATGCAGAAAGAGCTTCTGGGGAAGAATCTGCACCGCTCTTATTTTTCATCTTTTCCTTCAGCAACCGTTGTTTCAACTGATCGAATACTGTATACTGCACAGTAGCAGAATTCCACTTATAGTTCCAGTCATTCAAGAAACATAACCCAATCCTCTTAATATTTTTCCAAAGAAATTATAAAACCTTGTACTAGAAGTTTTAATGTCAATCATTTTAGCCTTATGTTGTTTTGTAGTGATGACGAAAATGTTTTATTCCATTGATTTAGATAATACAAAGCACAGCTATATAAATCACGCCCCAATATAGTACAAAGATTAAAGTAAATACCCATCATAGCCCAAATCACAGATAATTTTTAAAAATGAAACTCTTGCAAGAAATACAATTCTCACTACCATCACCCACTACCACTACTCAAGAAATCAACAACCATGGCTCGAAAAGATGGGGAGTGGAAGAGAGAGCCAAGAGACAAATTTTTCTCTCTAATCCCTCAATGAAGTCAATCGTTATATCTAAGGAACATGTTTTTTTTCAAATCTAGCAAACATGTGAACTCAAAAGCTCCATTAACCAAGCAGAAAAAAAAGATGGTTAGAACTATATAAATACCTGGATAGATGGATTGGAAGTGAGGAGCAGAGAAATGCCTAGACCATCAAATGCCTCACTCCAAGTGCGCTCAGTGAGCATTTTCCACAACCCCTTGGATTTCCCAAAATCACTCGTTTGCATTCGAGAAGATGCTGTATCCAGCGGCTGAAATAACAGAAACAACTTGAACTCTATGAAGGTAAAGACAAACAAGGACACTAACAAAACATATCAACATACAATGCAGTTATGCAGACTTAAACCAGCTTGGTTGGCGTGAGTGGCCGTACACTCTTAAGAGAGGTCGAGAGTTCAAAACCCCCTCTCATATGGAAAAACCAATATGGCCAGTACTTTGTCCCTTAATTGGGCCGGTCCTGTCACCTGTGCGAACAGGGATTAGTCTGAGTAGGGTACGGGCTTAAAGGAAGTGTCTCCTATAGATAGGGCCTACTCATGACACCTTGCAGTCGAACCCAAAAAACATACAGTGCAACTTAGGAATTTGATGCATACGTTCACCAGCCTCACCAACTCCCCTTCTTCCCCTCCTACCCCTTTGGCGCATAACTTATTTCAGACCAAAACTTGGGAGAAAAAAATGATCAAATATAATTCACCTGAGTTATTATGACAGTACAAGCCCCAGCAGCAGCTGCAATGATTAAGTTAGCTTTTGTTCCAATAGATTTAGAACCACTTTTCTTCAAGTATAATCTCTTAAAGTAGCTGTATCCATAGAAGTAGATAAACTGTGAAATAAAGGACTGCAAGTTCTTTGTCCCAAGACCCTGATATAGTGAAGGAATTCGCCGGGTTGCAATGGCCTCCAAAAAGACATCGGTTGTGTTCCTGTGCATAAAGCAAAGTAGCGATATAATCAGATTGACAACAGGAGATAATCTTTGCAGGCAAGTAAAACTTGAAAAGCCCCCAAACTTTTGATTCAATCATCACTCACTGCCTTCATATGAATTATAGTGTGCGGCATTTACCCCTTGGCATATTAAAAACCATCTTTTCTGCAATTAATAGTGCATATTGGCATTCATATCAGTTATCACACTCACCTATTCCTACTATCTTCACTTAAAACGCAAATGGGATCAGTACAATTATCACAACTTTCAGAATCATATCAAACACTCAAACTTCCCACCATGAAAATCACCATTTATGGAACAAGTCACTAAGCTTTTCTTAAGACAAGCATGGATTACCACAAAACTAAATACAGTATAACTGAAGGTTCTACCTTCCTACTCTAAAATTGACAGAGTAAATCAAAGATTCAATTTTTCTAGCGAAGATAGCATAATTCTTCAAAAGGGCACTTAAATTCTCATGATATAATCACTTATCCCGCAATTAAACCTCAAGGGAAGAATGAAAAAGTGCAAGAATACCCAAAAAAAAAAAAATATATCTAAGCAGACCCGAAAAAGAGGGGCCCAGTACGGAAAGAAAGGGAGAAGAAAATCTGTAGATAAGAACCTGTATTTGGCTTGACCGGGAAGACGAAGTTCAGCTTGGTACTTGGTCTTGCAAGTGTCTAGAGGATACAATATGGTGGTGCTGACCAGTGCCCCCACCGCCCCCGACGCCGCCTCCGACAACGACTCCATATCACAAGCCAGCAACTTTCACAGCCAAAATGGAACCGGAAAATCTAGGAGAGTGAGTTATGAGCTGTGATACCAAGGCATGGGTTTCCTGAATATGAGTATGTTCGAGAGGAGAAGAAGGCGAAAGTGACGTAAGGCATGCCCGGTTTTGGTAAAAGCGTGGCACATCACACATGGAAAGAGTAACGTGACGGAATGAGCTTTGATTGGCATTTTGTAGCCGTGGTCGCCACAGGTCTTGGACGGGAAACAAATGGAAGCAATCAAATTGGAAAGTGGATGCAATGTCGAGTGAGACTCTATCTTCTCCCAAAATGTTGAATTCCCAACTCCAATGCCCCACAGCTCAATAGAACATATAAAAGTATGCAATAGGATGATAGGTTGACCGGTCTAATAACGTGACCGGAAACCTCTTAATTACAGTGTGCTCCGTGACAGTCATGCACAGGTAAACATGCAGCCGAACACGTGTGTCGCGGCTTCTGATGGTGGTGGGGCCAACAATCCGGGGCAGGGCGATCGGGTAGGAGCTGAAGATGACGGTGATTGGGCTGATTGGGCTGAACGGGCCTGGTCCATACGATGCTGCCCGATCGTAGGTCGTCCGTACACACCAGGTATAATCTCCATTAGTTCTCTCAGACAATGCCAAATGTCGGTGCACACAAGGAATTGTCCACTTTGGTTCTCTCAGACAATGCCAAATGTCGGTGCACACAAGGAATTGTCCACTTTGGTTCTCTCAGACAATGCCAAATGTCGGTGCACACAAGGAATTGTCCACTTTGGACATAATTTTCACACTGTTGCTATTGAAGTTTGAACATTGGTCTCTTCCATAAATACTGCATACTGAACCAGTGAGCTAAACACGTGCGGACCAAGTCAAACTCTATCGTAAAAGGGTGATTGAGTAAGATAAAATTTTCTAGTGTGATTTACGAATTTATGAGTTATTATAAATGAGTGATGTTTGTCAATGCACCACATTTCAAATAATAAGTGGTTGCATGTTTTTCTCATCACCTACAAATATTTAAATACACTTGAAAAAATGTCGTTAAGCATGTGAAATATGATTCTTACATGTCGCGAGTTTGATTATCGATAACATTATCTTGATCGAACTCATAGCATATGACATTTTTAGTATACTTACCTCTCTTATGTAATTGGTGGCACAAGAGCAATATAGTACAAATATTTAAATTCGTACGTGATCGTAATAATTAGATCGTGTCAATTTGTATTAGATACAACCGTTCATAACATGTCTGATTACACCGTATCTGGTAAACATATTATGTGTTGTTATATGTGATACAAATTTACACTTTCAAAAATTTTAATCATTTTATATCAAATTTGGTGGTTTTAGTATTGTTCAATTTGATAACCCAACCCGAAACATACTTACCCACCCCTACCCATGATTCATGAATAGCCAACTATATGAATTATGATATATTATATCCATTGTCAGCTCAACTAATACACTAGTAAGGGATGGATTTTTTTGTTTTTGTTTTTGTTGAGAAATAGTACAGTTTTTAGATAAAGTAACACTTTTAAATTTTGATATGAAATTTCCAAAATAAAAAAATAATAAATAAACTATAATAGTTACAATACACTATAATTTAAAAATTTTCACTAATAATTTTTCATATCAAGACACAACATAAATTGAGTAAGAGTGTCTACAAAATAGAAGAATGAAATGAACAGTGATTAAATGAGATGACAAATATTAGAGTATCCTTTTGACCTCATACTACAAATTGAATAATATAATAATCAATTTGGTTTGCAATCATATCTTTGCTACTCAAATAATACTTCTTATGTACTACTATGAAAAATCGTCACACATTTTATATAGTTAAACTAGAGCAATGTTTTACTATCCATAGACCCACAAAAGCACATTTCTTCCACTACATGACATTGGGGTGTTTGGTAAATAGCTATTAATTTATTAAGTTATTGAATTTGACTTAGTTGATAGCATTAACTGATTGTAGAAAGGTGTTTGTCGAAAAAACTATTTTGAGCAATTTTTTAAAGTAATAAACTATTAAAAAAAAATAATCAAATATTTATATTTAATATTTAATCAAGTCAAATAGCTAGTAATATCAAACAAGTCAAAATTAATTAATAAACTAACTCTCACCAAATAGGGCCATCGTGTAACACCTATGTTGTTGACTGTACTCTAACCAACCACTCATGCCCTAACCAATTGCCACGTGACCTCATTGATCCGTCACAAGCCTTAGCCGATATTTATATAATGGATCAGGGTCAACTGGTAATGTTGTTGCATGCCACCTCCCTTTTAAATACACGATATTTGTAATTCTCTAAACATTTTGTTTTATTTAAGACATTAACAACACGTTTGGTTCACAGAATGAATTTTGAGATAATAGAAATGTTATTCCATAAGGAATGAAATAGGCAAGGAATATAATAGAAATTGTATTCTGGTTCGTGCAAGGAATAGACTTTAAGAATTATATTACAGTGTTTTGTTGGTTTAAGAAATAGAAATGAAATATGTTTTCAAGGACATAAACACCCATATACAAATATGTGGTGGTGGCGGTGGTTGTTGGAAAACGTGCTTGTAAGCTGTAATACATTTGAGATACAACAATAATACAGAATACAACAGGGAACAAAAACTGGATCATTTGATATCTTCAGGCGTGTAATCACTTTCCTATAAGCTTTAAATCTCCCTCTATAAAGCAACAAGGTTCAAGATTTAATCTTATTGGATACAAGAAGATGAATGAAATTCTCAAGTTGCTATGTTTGAGAATTTCCTGTAGAATTGTAAGCCTGTGAAATGTCTTGGTTTCCTGCAAGTTGATTGCCTCCATCAATTGCCTGTTTTCTTTTTCTCTGTGTATTCTTCAGATGTTTCTCCAGATATTTATATAAAATAAATATAGCAGTTAGGAGAAGTTACATGGAAGTTATAGGAGTTCAAAACTCAACTTCCATAAGATATATCTTATCTGATATATCAGGCATGGGAAAAATATATCTGAATATTATAAATATTCATATGATATGGACCTTCGTAGGTTCATGAAAACTGCATACAAATTAACAAAGTAAAATATATATATTATATATATTTATTAACTCATTGCATGTTAACATGCAAAATAAATAAATAAATAAATAATATATATTAATACTTATATGCACGCAGCAGACACAAATCAACCACATTGCTTTTTGAAATTAACTTTCGTTAATTTCATGCGGCCGAAAGGAGCAAACCATTTTATGCATCAATTCGTGTACTTCTTTGGTCAAGACGAATTCATTGTCAAAATTCAATAAATCATTAAGCAGCACACGAAAGTTACGCATGCACCGATTTATTAAGTAACACGAATCGTATCCATTCGTTGAGCACGAAAGACTCGTGTAACCCAACGAAACAAACAAAATGCATGTCATCAACTCGTTAAATTCGAATCTTTCGATTCGTTAAATTAACAAATTTGATACAACCGAATCCATCGTTTGAATAACGATTTGTACACAACGATTTGTACGCAACATTCATATTTCCCAACTTACTTTCTACCAAACCAAAATAATATTTATAACTCCACAACTCCAAATATTATTTAAGCTTTTCATGGTAGTTCATCTGAACCATTAATTCTCATTACTATATAAATCTCTAACATTCCTCCTCCATTTATATAGTAAAAATTAATACTGTACCAAGATAGATCCAAAACTCATGCATAAATGAAAGTGTCTTAGAGATTGAACTTTCACATAGTGTTATATGCGTTACATTAATTCGGATTGCAGTGATGGACGAACCTTGAATCACGCAGTCTCTTTGAAGAAACGTAGATATAACACACACAAGTTTTACAGTCATTACAACTCACTGTAACTTGACACTATAAAGGTCATGTGTCCGTATCCATTAATGAGCACATACCAAGTAAAGCCCAAACTTGTTTGAAGCGGCCACACTTCATGCTCACAGCGGCTAATCTTTTATTTCATGCACTGCATCTTGCATTTTTTCAAAAGATCAGTTAAGAGTAAAAACTCATCCCTACAACAATGCAGAACCAAGCATCACCTTTTCTTTGGATACAATTTTAATTAAACTTTTGATGCTTGCAAATCACAAAATGAAGTACTCATCTACATTGAACTCAAGGTCTAACGTAATAACTTAGACGTGAGTTGAGCTTTCCTTCACTTGCAATTAAATAATTAGGCTTTCCATATCCCTTTCGATGTACCATGTCCCTTGCAAGGACTCTTGCAAACGGATCCGTTAAAACCGGGACTGTACCAAGTCCAGTGCTACAACACTATTACCTAGGATTTCCCACATAGCTAAGTCACAAGCCTATGTGTCTTCATTTGCCATTATAAACACTTGTTTATATGATATGGCCAGTGTAGTAGCGCTGTCATAATGTACTAAACTGGTGACATCGGTTTTGGCCAAACCAGAATCTAAATAATTAAATTCCTTAGCCAATCAACTTATTTGCATGCCGAAGCCAACACAAGAAATTCATATGCCGTAGTTGAAAACGCAACTTTGCTTTTAGAAATCCATAAAACTACACCTCCTCCAAGCAGAAATATCCATCTACTAATTGAGAAACAGGTTTCATGATTAGACATTCAACTGGCATTAGAAAATCTTTTCAGAATGGAAATCTCTATTAAATATACTAAACCATAATTTATGGTTTTATTCAAGTATATCAGAATTTCTTTTAATCCCATCCACTTAGCCAACCGAACATGATGATAGATAGAATTTTAATATTCTATTGATGAACTGGTGAAATAAAATATTTAATTGATTATACCGAAACCCACTTTATAGGTTCCTAGTCAATAAATATTTATATCATGCAAATTCTACAACCAAGAATTTCAATCATCATGTTGAACTTATTAGCAGTAAGAACTTCTTAAAATAAAAATTCAACCTCCTCCATTTGAGACATCATCAACTTTGGAGAATAAACCTCCTCCATTCAGAGAACATCAACTTTGGAGAATAAACCATTTTGATTTTAAGCTTTTAACTTTTCATGTTTCTTCTAAACTGAAGAATCATACCAACTTAAATCATAATCCATGATTTAAATTTAAACTTTCTTTTCACTGCTAATTGTCAGCC